ACATGTTCCATATCGACTAAATCCTTGTTCCAATGGACAAAGTAAGTGTCTGTGTAGTGTACAGTGAAACCTCCCTGTACGGACACCTCTTGAAAGCGGTCACCTCTCAATAGCGGACAAATTTTGCGGTCCCGGCAGAAATACATCGTTTCTTATGAGACTAGCCTCTAGTAAAGGTGGCCAAAACCACTTCTTAATAGCGGACATCAATTTATTCAAAGTTATGGGAAAAAATGCAATATGCATTAAAAATCCATGTAAATGCATAAGCAGTTGATACGAAAAACGATTAAAAACACTAAGCTGAAAGGTACTCGACTTCGCTTTGCTTAGCATTAATGAAGTAACCCGTTTAAACTAGAATGGTGAATAAGCTTACTTGATTGATAAATAAAATGGAAAATTCAACTTGCTGTTCATTTTTTTTTAATGTAATATTAAATCCATTTATTACAATTTTTGAAAAGCAATTGTTTTGTAGGATCTGTGAAGAATTTGACTCTCTACGATTTCGTAGTATCTCTAAAAAATGTTAGTTCAACATAAATTTAGCCGTTGCAGGATTTCTCTATATTTGACACATTCCATGATACACAATTTAATGTTTATAGATTGACATCAATGAAACAATATAGGAAAAAGATAATTGAAGAATCTAAAATAAAAATAAAATAAAATAAATGATTGCAAAAATTTTCGAAAAAATCCGTGACTGGTGTTCATAGTTACCTGCTGAGTCGTTTCATAATTCATAAATTTACTTGGTCCAACTCTAAAACCCGAAGGTCTCATAGACTTTATCATTATTAGTTGTATCATTTTCCGGGTTTTTATTGAGTATCTATACCAATCACTGAAGTAACTATTTTAGGCAGAAAAAGTTTTTAAATATCTTAAGAAATCTAATTTCGATTAACGAGAATCGAAATCCTTACCATTTCTTAAAAATGTCACTGCTAGCATCGTAAATTTTCTGAGAGGGATAGCTTACCAAAAACAAACTTTCGACGCAAACGATGTATACGAAAACCATTTTCAAAACGATGTTCATATCTTGTTTAAATTCAATCACCATCTAAGAGAAAAATAAGGCTATAAATAATAAAATATCCTGCTTTACCATACAAAATTTTTACTGTCAATTATTAACATTATAAATCGTACCACCCATCCGGAAATACTACCGATGACAAGCACAGTCAATACTCCAAAGACAAACATGGAACTGACAATCGTGTCCAGTAAATCAAATAAACTAATCATAAGCAGAAAAATAATGTAATGCAATTGAACGAAATAATTCTCAATATTAACACTTAACTGGATACAAAATTGATGTTGTTGAACCAGTTGAGAAATACGTTTGAAAGTTTCATCATCTCCGTCCGAAAAATGCTTTGTTTGAGAGAAAGACGAAATTTGTTTTAATTTGAACCTAATTGAAAATATAGCTTCATTCATTGTAATGAACAATATAAGGAATTATAAAAATTTACAATAAAATACCCCACGAATCTAAACTTTCCTATCACAAAGGAAGTTATTGATACATAAAAAACTGATAAACTTGAAACAAATACTGCCGTTATGTAAGCTAGTATTGGCAAAATAAAAAAAGTATAATAAAAGTGTATGTCTTCATCTATGAACAAGTCCAAGTAAGCAGAAAACTTTTTTCGATGCGCGTAATTTCTTGGTAAAATTAAATTTGCTATAACTGGGAATAATATTGGAATTATCATGGCATACATCATAATAGAGACATATATAAGACCTGCAACAAAATTAAACTCTTGATTTAGTATGGTTCATTAAATTTGATTTTGAGTATAGACCTGCCTGTGATTATGTAAGAAGTGAGCCTAGCTGTGTCAATGTATGTTTGTAAAAAAATTTTTTCCTCGGAACTACATTGAAATAAATTTCTCGTCATAAGAACTATTAACTTTTGAAACTTGAAGATAATTTAGATAAAAGTAAAAAAGTATTCGATTAATTTAAAAATATGTTTCTCGTGCATTAATGTTTTATAGAAAATTTGACTGTACTGTTATGTATTTTTTTTTGTCTAAAGTTACAAAATACGTGCCAATAATAACGGAACATGCGCAGCAGTTTTGAATGCATAATTCTATTACTATATTCATATCGAGTTTGCTGTAGCGTGTTATTCGTGCAAACTGCAAAACCATTTTTATAAATCATAACTAAAATTTTATTCTTAAATAAAGTACGAAAAACTTCTGAAAATGGATCAATAATAAATTACCGTAAATATTAAATTTGCAATCATTAACACAAATATCACCCATGGTCGATACTTCTTGATGCCAGTCCAAAAAGGCCACATGAGTGAAGCCTTCAGTAAAGGTACCAATAAGGGATACATTCCTTTTGTGCGTTTTTCAAGATCTGATATATCTGATTGTGATAACTGTTTCAATTCCCCATCTTTGATTGATTGTTGCAGAATAATCGGACGATATTGCGACATGCTCTTTACGAACCATAAACAAAACTACATTAACATATATTTGGTCGAAATCTACACCAGCGAACTTAAATACTCGGCCCTCGAAAATGTTCAATCGATTAGTCGCTTCCTTCACTGTGCAATGCAGGTCGTGAAACCGTAGTCAAGCGCTGTTGTTTAAAAAACGCGAAGAAAGCGACTAATCGATCGCAAATTTTCCAGGTCCGAGTATCTAAGTTCGCTGGTGTACGTGCGAGAAAAAACTTGAATATTACAGTGAAATGACAAATTCATTTCTCATTAAAATTTCAATACGATGTACACCAAAATTTAAAATTTCAACAAAGAAAATTGCATTCAACTAGAGTACGAAAATGTTGTTTTCTGATAGTTGACTTTTTTATAAAGAAATATAATATCTAACATCTCATAATATAGTTTTTATGCGACGCATTTAAATTTTTTTTTATTTTTTTATCTTGACCGAGAGTAAAATTTCCCTCCCGCTGCGCGATTGGAAAATTCGATTTTCATGCAAAGGTATGAAGGAAACCACTTTAACGAACTTAGCTAAAAGGTCGAAAAGGCCAACATACAACATAAGTACATACACACACAATCTCATACAGACATTTGTTAGTAATTCAATGTAGTTTTCAAATATGTCACCCAAAATTTCTTACGACGTCTGGTTCTAAATCTAATTTTCGAGCTTATCGCACAGCTTCCTCTATTAGGAAGTAAAAATCAATTTGCTCACCCACCGAGAAATAGTCCATGAAATAGTCCATGAAATAGTCGTAAAGATCATGCATGCGACAAATGCGAGAAAAAATGTAATTTTGCACCAAAAAAACAGTACACGAAGATCTCAAAGACTACCCATGCGATAAATGCGAGAAAAAATTTAGGGATATAAGGGATTTGAGAAGATACTTACGAGGCTACTTACGAGAGTCAAGTACACGAAGGTCGCAAAGATTACGCATGCAATAATTGCGATAAGAAATTTCAACGAAAATCGACTTTGCTCGGCATCAAAAGATCGTAAACGAAGGTCGCGAAGATTATGCATGTGGTAAGTGCGAAAAAAGATTCGGATTAGTATATTATGATACGTGTGACTTAAGCAGGCCATTATTGCACGGCACGGTTAGCACCCGAGCAAAGCGAGGGTGCTACTGAAGTAATGAATAGGCTATTTGAGTCATAAGTATCTTACGCTTTTTTATAGCACTGTGCTAAAATCACGTTTGGGTCCCCTTTGGCAAGATATAAGGTGCTCATATAGCGTCGCGGTGCAATAATGAGCAACTAATCACGGCAAAGCGTGCCTTAAACGTGAACCTTAGCCACGCAGTGCTATAAACAAATTTTCTTTGATATTCCACCAAAGCACAGTACATAAAGGGCTCATGTCAGTATGAAAAAAAATTGGCTGATCTACAGTCCAAGATCATTAAGATTTCGTACTCAAAAAATGTAAGAATACATCATATCTCAGACTTATCGAAAAATATGAGGATTCCTAATAAGTGAATCCCAATAGTAAAATCAAGAAAATATTGACTCTGACGTATGCTGAATTATGTTTAGAAAAGTTTTATAGGAGATAATTTTACATGATTAGACAACCTTACTGTATAATAACCAAGTTCATCACGATAATATCTTATTTTTAGTGTTTAACTTTGTAATGACGTATTTTATAATCTCCCAAGAATTTTTTTTCAAATCGAAAATAAGTGTAATCCCATTTTGTGAAAAATTTACATTTTGTACGAATGTCTCGACCTTATTGCAGTAATATGATTTGAATACTTCCTCAGATAATTGTGTGCAATTCATCCGTGAAATAATGAAAGCCACTTCTTTTTTTTCTCGACAATTGGAGATGGAGATATGTATATGGCCGATTCTCTGTCAACTCAACCGGTCAACATTTTTTCCCTACATCTCATATGATGAACACATTGTTTGGGATGTCAGGAATGTACAAAAAAATTTATAGAGCGATTGAGGCCTTCTATCACCCTTATTCAGAATTCCAGAGTTGGCCTTTTTCGCATTTTTCCATTATTTGTCAAAGATCGCAAATTTTTCAATAAGCTCTAACTCAGTAAAGAAAGACTCAAAAGTAAAAGTGCACAGAAGGTTTTTTGTTGGAAATCGTCGAAATTTTCAGAAAAAATGGGTTCCGAAGCGATCTGAGCACTCTAGAAGCTTCTACAATAGAAATAACAAAAAAAAACAAAAAACACTAAATCTACTCAATTATGATCCGGACTTTCCTTTCCAAAGCTATTTAAGAAGCTTCCTTAACATGTCAACTACTTCCATGTAAGTTTTTATAATGGTTTGAGCCTTGGTTTGCGCTGAAGACACTAATGTGTCGAAAAACGTGCAAAAAAAGGTCCTAAAGCAGAGTCTAGCCTTAGATCTTTACATGTTACACTTGCTAGGCAAACTCAAACCTCAAATATAAGTACAGGGGTCCCTCGTATAACGCGGGGCTTACGTTGCAAACATGTACATGTACTATCCAGCCAACAACCTTGAACAACTTGAGGAACTGTAGTATGTCTCTGGAAGTCCGAGAGATTTTTGTAATCTCCGGAGGTCCGGGAGATGTGCTCAGCGCAAGAGCTCACCAGCGAGCGGCCCGGCACCGCGGCTTATATAGCGCGACGACGCGGCTGAGAAGTGGCGCATATCACAGCGAGGCTGAGAAATGGCGCGATCCGCAGAGCTCGGGCGTGATCTGCAGTACGCGTCTATAATGGACAAAAATATTTTTCGACGAAATCGATGCTAAGTTAGAATATTAAACTGGTTGAAATATTGTTAGGAGAATGTATAAACAGATAAATCGTTTTTTCGTTTCTCGAATGTATTGCTCATGTTTAAAGTAAAAACCAATTAGTTCGAATGTTGTCATACATGACCAAACACGCCATAAACCAGAAAATCAGTTTTACTAATTATAATTCCGTGGCACCAAATTCAAGAATCTGTCGTTTAATTTAGGCGCCCAAATGAATAAAAGGGAGAAGGATTCCGAGGGAAATATCTCGGAACATAATATCAGTGAACACGACATTATTGTTTCAGATGACAAACAATACATTTGTGATATTGACCAGATGACATTTACACTGGAATCAAGCATGATAACGCAGCGAGACACAATTCATGATGAAAAAAAAAATTATGTTTGCGACAAGTGCGAAAATAAATTCGAGTTTCGGAGTCATTTGAGTAGACATCAAATATCAGAACACAAACTCCGCAATGATTTTGCATGTGACCAATGTAAAAAAATATTTGTGAAAAAATCGAGTTTGCTTATGCACCAAAAATTAGTGCACAAAAATCCCAAAGATTTCACATGTGACAAGTGCGAGAGGAAGTTTGAAAATAAATCCACTTTACTCAAGCACAAAAAAATATTCCACGAAGTTTTCAAAGATTACTTATGTGAAATGTGCGCCAAGAGATTCGGTAATAAATATAGATTACTCTCTCACATAAAAACAGTTCATGAAGATCGTAATCTTACTTGTGATGAATCAGAAAAGAAATTTGGAGGTCAAAGCAATTTAATTAAACACCAAATAAAAACATATGAGGGCCGTAAAAATTTCGTTTGCGATAAGTGCGGAAAAATATTCAGACATAAATCTAGTTTGCTCTACCACCAAAAGACAATACACGAAGGTCAGAAAGATTTCGCATGCGACAAGTGTGGAAAGAAATTTGCAAGTAAACATCATTTAATATCTCATCAAAAAACAGTCCATGAAGGTCGCAAAGATTTCGCATACGATAAGTGCGATCAGAAGTTTGGACTTGCACATCATTTGGTGTACCACCAAAAAACAGTCCACGAAGGTCGCAAAGACTACGCGTGCGACAATTGCGAAAAGAAGTTTAACCAAAAAGGGTACTTGTTTCAACATCAAATAACAGTCCACGAAGGTCTTAGAAATTTCAAATGCAACAAGTGCGAAAAGAAGTTTGGTCTAAAATGCAATCTGATTAAACACCAAAAAACATTACACGATGGGCGCAAAGATTTTAGATGCGACAAGTGTGAGAAAAAATTTCGACAAATATCGCATTTGATTAGACACACTAAAACAATACACGATGGTCGCAAAGATTATTCTTGCGATAAGTGCCAAAAGAAATTCGGGCAGAAATATAATTTGCTTGCGCACAAAAAATCAGTCCACGAAGGTTGCAAAAACTACGCATGCGATAAATGCGAGAAAAAATTTGGGAAATCAAGTAATTTGATAAATCATCAAAAGACAGTCCATGAAGGTCGCAAAGATTTTGCATGTGATAAATGTGAAAAGAAATTTGGAATAAAATCACATTTGCTCAGACACCAAATGGCAGTACATAAAGGACACAAAGTTTGAGACATAATGACATCTTCTCACATTTTTTGCGTGCGAAAATTATGCGTTCAATTAGAATAAAAAAATTTAGGTGGTTTAGAGCAATTCTATAAAGCACCAAATGACAATCCACAAAGATCATTGAGATTTTGCACACGAAAAATGTTAGAAAACGCCATGTCTCAAACTTATTAAAAAATATAAGCTTCATAATTAACAAGTACTAATATTAAATTTCACAATGTATTGGTTCTGTAAATATACTGACTCTAGTTCAGAAAAGTTTTATTGGAGTTTATTTTATTTTAAATAATTAGTTGACCTTTTTATGATAATATGATAATAATTAGATCAAATGTTTTGGCTACTTGGTTCGTGCAGGCTGTTTGGGCCAAGATCAAGCAGATTATATGGAGCTCGGACAGCAGCGGATAGAGACGGCAAATTTTGTGATGAACTGGTTCAAATATTGTCATGACATTTAAGTATAAACAGATAAATCAGTAACTCATTCCTCGAATGTATTGGTCATGTTTATAGCAAAAGCAAATTAGTTAGAATGTTGCCTTTCCCGACCAAACTATAGCCCTAATACCAGAAAATAAATTCATCATTTAATTTAGGTACAAAAAATGGATAGAACTGATAAGAAACTCGAAAAAGATGTCTCGAAAAATTATTCAAATGAAAATGACATTGTTGTTTCAAACGACAAACAATACATTTGTGATATTTGTGAAGAGGCATTTCCACTGGAATCAAGTATGATGACACACCGACACACAATTCACAATTTAGAAAAAACTTACTTATGTGACAAGTGCGAGAAGAAATTTGAGTTCCGAAGTCACTTGAATCGACACCAAATATCAGAACACAAAGGCCGTAATAATTTTGCATGTGACCAATGTGAGAAGAAATTTGTGAAAAAATTGAGTTTACTTACGCACCAAAAATTAGTACATAAAGATTTCACGTGTAAAAAGTGCGATAGGAAATTTGAAAATAAATCAAGTTTATTCAAGCACAAAAAAATATTCCACGAAGTTTACAAAAATTATTTATGTGAAATGTGCGCCAAGAGATTTGATACTAAACCCAGTTTGCTCTTGCACTTAAAGGCAGTTCACGAGGTTCCAAAAGATTTCACCTACGATGAGAGCAAGAAGAAATTAGGGGATCAAAGCAATTTAATTAAAAACCAAAAAATAACTCATGATTTCGCATGCAACAAGTGCGGGGAGAAATTCGGTCAAAACTCGCAATTGCTCTATCACCAAAAGACAGTACACACAGGTCCAAAAGATTACGCATGTGACAAGCGTGAAAAAAAATTTGCACAAAAAACGAGTTTTCTCTACCATCAAACGTCAGTACACGAAAGTCACAAAGGTTACGCATGCGAAAAATGCGAAAAAAAATGTAGACTTAAGTCTAATTTGTTCAAACACCAAAGGACAGTACACGAACGTCGCAAGGATTTTGCATGTGATAAGTGTGAGAAGAAATTTATAAGCAATTCAGATGTATTTAAGCACCAAAAGACAGTCCACGAAGGTCGCAAAGATTACGTATGTGACGAATGCAAGAAAAAATTTGGACTTAAACAAAATTTGCTAATGCACAAAAAAACAGTACACGAAGGTCGCAAAGACTACAAATGTGAAAAATGCGAGAAAAAATTTGGACAAAAATCGCATTTGCTTCGACACACAAAAACATTACACGATGGGTGCAAAGATTTTAGATGCGACGAATGTGAGAAAAAATTTGCACGAAAATCCTATATGCTTTTGCACCGAAAAATAATGCACGAAGGTCGCAGAGATTTCACATGTGATAAGTGTGAACAAAAATTTGGAGAAAAATCGAAATTGATCTCTCACCAGAGGACTGTACACGAAGGTCGCAAAGATTATACATGCGATCAATGTGAAAAAAAATTTGGGGCTCAAAGCAAATTAATAACACACCAAAAGATCGTGCACGAAGGTCACAAAGATTACGCGTGCGACAAGTGCGAGAAAAAATTTGGAGAAAAGAGTTATTTGCTGAAACATCAAAAGATAGTACACGAAGGTCGCAAAGATTTTGCATGTGACAAGTGCGGAAAAAATTTTGGACAAAAATCGAATTTGCTCAGACACCAAATGACAGTACATAAAGGACGCAAAGTTTGAGACATGACTTAAATTTTTCGTGCCTGAAAATTATGCATGCAATAACAATAAATGAAAAGAAATATTAGAAAAAGTCATGTTTCACACTTATTGAAAAATATAAGCTTCTTAATTAGCAAGTACTAACAGTAAATTTTACAATTTATTGGTTTCTCGAAATATACTGGCTCTAGTTCAGAAAAGTTTTATTGGAGCTAATTTTTTTTTTTTAAATAATTAGATGACCTTACTGCATAATAATTTCGTTTTTTGTAATGGTTTATTTTGCCACTGAGTCTGAAATCTTTCAAACGATTTTTCACATAATCGATAATAAGCGCAATCGCATTAAATTTCACGTTCGATGACAACCCATTATTTCTGAGTAATTTATTGCTTATAGGAATATTTCGAATTTTTTATGTAGTCAACATTTTTATCAGTAAAATAATGAAAAGCGTTGGTTTTTTGTCTTGACAATTGTAATTATAAATAGATACTTGTATGAATTTTTTTTTGAAATTTAAAATAAATTGTGTCAGTATGATTGATTTTTACCTAACATGTATCTACTATCGTTACACCTTTGTTTAATGTCATAGTTTTATCAGAAAACTGTTACTCAGTTTTAGAAGGTTGATAGAATTTCTCTGAGAAATCATCATTAATTTGAAATTTGAAACTGATTTAAATATTATAAGGAGATTGTATAAACAGATAAATTAATTGTAAACAATATGATCATAAATAATTTTGATGTCGTTCCACGAAAACTCATCATGTTCTCGTTCATAGTAAAAACAAATCAGTTTGAAAGTTATCTCTCTCAATGTAACTATCAATCATTCAGGCACCAAAATGAATAAAAGTGAGAATAAATCAGAGGAAGATGTCTCGAAGAATAGTTGGAGTGAACATGGCATCTTTGTTTTAGACGGCAAACAATACATTTGTGATGTTTGTCAGGAGGCATTTACACTAGAATCAAGTTTGATGGCACACCGAAAAACAATTCACAACGAACGAAAAGATTTCGCATGTGATAAGTGTGAAAATAAATTCGAGTTTCGGAGTCATTTGAGTAGACATCAAATATCAGAACACAAAAGCCACAAAGATTTTGCATGTGACCAATGTAAAAAGAAATTTGTGAAAAAAACGAGTTTGCTTATGCACCAAAAATTAGTGCACAAAAATCCCAAAGATTTCACATGTGACAAGTGCGAGAGGAAGTTTGAAAACAAATCAGCGTTACTCAAGCACAAAAAAATATTCCACGAAGTTTTTAAAGATTACTTGTGTGAAATGTGCGCGAAGAGATTTGGAAATAAACAGAGTTTGCTCTTTCACATAAAGCAAATTCACGAGCGTCGCAAGGATTCCACCTACAATGAGAGCAAGAAGAAATTAGGGAATCAAAGCAATATAAGTAAACACCAAAAAACAATTAATGTTTTCGGATGCGACAAGTGTGGGAAAAAATTTGCAAGTAAATGTGATTTAATATCTCATCAAAAAACGGACCATGAAGGTCGCAAAGATTTCACGTGTGACAAGTGTGAAAAGAAATTTACACAAAAACACAGTTTGCTCTACCACCAAATGACAGTCCATGAAGGTCGGAAAGATTTCGGATGCGACAAATGCGAGAAAAAATTTGGTCAGAAATCATATTTGGTTCTACACAAAACGGCAGTACACGAAGGTCGCAAAGATTATCTATGCGAAAAGTGTGAGAAGACATTTTTTGATGCAAGTTCTTTGATTAGGCATCGAAAAACCGTCCACGAAGGTCGCAAATACTACTCATGTGACAAGTGCGAAAAGAAATTTACACAAAACAGTAATTTGCTTTTCCACCAGAGGACGATACACAAAGGTTGCAAAGATTATGCGTGTGACAAGTGTGAGAAGAAATTTAAACATAGAACGAGTTTGCTCTTCCATCAAACGTTAGTACACGAAAGTCGGAAAGGTTACGCATGCGAAAAATGTAAGAAAAAATTTGGTCAAAAATCAGATTTGGTTAGACACCAAACGAAAGTACACGAAGGCCACAAAAATTTTGCGTGCGACAAGTGCGAGAATAAATTTGGTCAGGCAAGCAGTTTGATCAGGCACCGAAAAACCGTCCACGAAGGTCGTAGGGATTACTCATGCGACAGGTGCGATAAAAAATTTGGATATAAAAATTATTTACTCTACCACCAAAGGACCGTCCATGAAGGTCGGAAAGATTTCGGATGCGACAAATGCGAGAAAAATTTTGGAAGTAAAAAAAGTTTGTTCTTGCATATAAGAACAATTCATGAAGGTCGAAAAGATCACGCTTGTGATAAGTGCGAGAAAAAATTTACACAAAAACCGAGTTTGCTCTACCACCTAATGGCAGTTCACGAAAATCGCAAAGACTATGCATGAGACAAATGGGGGAAAAAATTTGGTAAAAAATCAGATTTGGTTGTACATCAAATGGCGGTACATAAAGAAAGAAAAGATGATGTATCGTGTTAGTTTGAAAAGAAATGCGTAGATCAAAGCAACGCGATGCGAATAATGTGAGAAGACGTCATGTTTCAAACTTTTAGTAAATTCTTCGAGTACATTTTAGAAAATATTGACTCCAACTTATTATGGATCGAGTTCAGAAAAGTTTTATAAGAGCTCATTCCATTTTACACAGTTACGCAATCTAAATGCTTATAGACAATCTATATCATGATAATATTTTTTTAAATGTATTAAATTTCATAATTATAAATAATGATTAAATATAAATAACTTATTCTTTACAAGAACAGCTCGAACTTATTGAATTCACATGCTTTGAATAGTTTTTCAGAGAATAATCAGTGAAATATTGAAATGAAAATAAATATATATATTTTAATAGATATTACTATGAATTATTTTTTAAAATTTCAATAAAAAACCGTGCTTATACGATTAAGTCTAACCCTATTTCAACTGTCATTACACCTTTGTTCATTGTTTCTACCTGCCACGGTTTATACTTTATTTTTTCATTAGGCACCTATAATTACTACTATCAATGAATTTTTTGGCTACTTCATTCCTGCAGACTGTTCAGGCCATGAAAAAGCTGATTACATTGCGTCGATGGCATAGAAACCAAGCCATGGCGTGACGATAGCAGTGGCCTGGGACGGCAAATTATGAAACGAATAATCATACAATTTTTAGAATTTATAATTTAATGCATGAGTATGTATGGACTCGATGTAACAAGTATTATTTTGGAGTATTGATTTTAAACTAGTTCAAATATTGTGAAGATACTCTACTCAACAAACTTATCGAAACAAAAAATTCCAACGAAACATTGTCAATTTTCAAAAAAAAATCTTCTCGATAAGCTTAATATAGACCAAGATAGAAGCATTAGAAAATTGACAAAATTTTTTCGATGAAATTTTTCATTGAGTAGCTGCGTATAAACAAATAAATCGTTAATTTGTTCCTCGAATCGATCGGTCATGTTTATAGGAAAAACGAATTAGTTTGAATATTGTCTTTCCCGGTGATACCCGTAATAACATCGAAAGATAAATTTTACTCATTGAATTTCTGTAATACAAAATAGGTTCCATCGTTCAATTCAGATACCAAAATGAATAAAAGTGAGAAAAAATCCGAAGAACATGTATCGGAAAAAATTGTCAGTGAACGCAAAAAATATATTTGTGACAGGTGCGAGAAAAAATTTGTAAAAAAAAGGAATTTGTTTACGCATCAAAAATTGGCACACAAAGATCGCAAAGATTTCTCATGCAACAAGTGCGAGAGAAAATTTGAAAACAAATCAACGTTACTCAAGCACAAAAAAATATTCCACGAAGCTTTCAAAAATTATTTATGTGAAATGTGCGCCAAAAGATTTGATACTAAACCCAGTTTGCTCTTGCACTTAAAGGCAGCACACAAGGTTCCAAAAGATTTCACCTACGATAATTTAATTAAGCACCAAAAAATAACTCATGATTTCGCATGCGACATGTGCGAAAAGAAATTTGGACAAAAATCAAGTTTGCTCTGCCACCAAAAAACAGTCCACGAAGGTCGAAAAGATTATGCATGCGAAAAATGCGAGAAGAAATTCGGACAAAAATCTGATTTGTTGAAGCACAAAAAAACAGTACACGAAGGTCGCAAAGACTACAAATGTGAAAAATGCGAGAAAAAATTTGGACAAATATCGCATTTGCTTAGACACACAAAAACATTACACGATGGTCGCAAAGATTTTAGATGCGACAAATGTGGAAAAAAATTTGCACGAAAATCCTGTATGCTTTTGCACCAAAGAATAACACACGAAGGTCGCAGAGATTTCGCATGTGATAAGTGTGAACGAAAATTTGGAGAAAAATCGAAATTGATCTTTCACCAGAGGACTGTACACGAAGGTCGAAAAGATTACCTGTGCGATAAATGCGAAAAAAAATTCGGATATAAATCAGATTTGTTAAAGCACCAAAGGACAGTGCACAAAGGTCGCAAAGATTACGCATGCGAACATTGCGAGAAAAAATTTGGACTTAAACATAATTTGCTCGAGCACCAAAAGATAGTACACGAAGGTCGCAAAGATTTTGCATGTGACAAGTGCGAAAAAAATTTTGGACGAAAATCGAACTTGCTCAGACACCAAATGGCAGTACATAAAGGACGCAAAGTTTGAGACATGACGTCTTTTCACATTTTTCGTGTGAAATCTGTGTATGTGCAACTTTTTATAGCACCAAACTAAAATCTACGGAGATCATTAAGATTTCACACACTAATAATGTTAGAAAACGTCATGTTTCAAACTTATGGAAAAATATAAGCTTTCTTGATTAGCAAGTATGGTTTGGGTACATTTTCACTAATAGTAAATGTTACAATTTATTGTTACTCGAAATGTACTGGTTGGAGTCAGAAAAATTTTATTGGAGCAAGTTTTATTTTTAGTAATAAGGAGACCTAATTATAATTATGTTACAATCATTTTTTTGTAATAGTTTGCTTTGTAATTTGAGTGCAAAATCTTTCAAACGATTTTTCTCATGATCGATAATATCCGCAATTGCATCTAATTACAAGTCCAATAACAACCCAGTTTTGGTGAGTAATTCTTATTATTGAAATAATAAAAAGCCCTGATTTTTGTCTTGACAATTGTAATTGTATAATAGATACTTATATAGATATTTTTTGTAAAATTTTAATAAAAAATCGTGCCAATACGATTAAGTTTATCCTTATGTCAACTATCATTACACCTTCGTTTGCTGCCACGGTTTATACTTTTTATTTTAATCAGGCGACTACTAATTACTACTCCCGGTGAACTTTTTGGCTACTTGGTTCCTGCAGGCTGTTTTGGCCAAGATCAAGCTGATTATATGGAGAGCGGAAAACAACGGTAGGGATGGCAAATTTTGTGATGAACTGGTTCAAATATTGTTTTTAGAAAGTATAAACAGATAAATCAGTAACTTATTCCTCGAACGTATCAGTCATGTTTGTAGCAAAAGCAAATTAGTTTGAATGTTGTCTTTCCCGACCATACTAGCCATAATACCAGAAAATAAATTCATCATTCCTTTTAGGTACCAAAAATGGATAGAACTGATAAAAAACTCGAGAAAGATGTCTCGAAAAATTATTCAAATGAACATGACATTGTTGTTTCAAACAACGAACAATACATTTGTGATATTTGTGAAGAGGCATTTCCACTGGAATCAAGTATGATGACACACCGACACACAATTCACAATTTAGAAAAAACTTACTTATGTGACAAGTGCGAGAAGAAATTTGAGTTCCGAAGTCACTTGAATCGACACCAAATATCAGAACACAAAGGCCGTAATAATTTTGCATGTGACCAATGTGAGAAGAAATTTGTGAAAAAATTGAGTTTACTTACGCACCAAAAATTAGTACATAAAGATTTCACGTGTAAAAAGTGCGATAGGAAATTTGAAAACAAATCAACGTTACTCAAGCACAAAAAAATATTTCACGAAGTTTTCAAAGACTTTTTATGTGAAAAGTGCGCGAAGAGATTTGGTAATAAACATAGTTTGCTCTTGCACTTAAAGGCAGCACACGAGGTGCCAAAAGATTTCACCAACGATAATTTAATTAAGCACCAAAAAATAATTCATGATTTCGCATGCGATAGGTGTGGGAAGAAATTTGGAAATAAACATAATTTAATACTTCATCAACAAAGAGGACATGAAGGTCGCAAAGATTATGCATGTGACGAATGCGAGAAGAAATTTGGACTTGAACGTCATTTGCTACGGCACAAAAAAACAGTACACGAAGGTCGCAAAGACTACAAATGTGAAAAATGCGAGAAAAAATGTAAACTTAAGTCTAATTTGTTTAAACACCAAAAGATAGTACATGAACGTCGCAAAGACTACGCGTGCGAAAAGTGCGAAAAGAAATTTGGGTTTAAAAGCAAGTTGATCATACACCAAAAAACAGTCCACGAAGGTCGCAAAGATTACGTATGTGACGAATGCGAGAAGAAATTTGGATTTAAACAAAATTTGTTAAAGCACAAAAAAACAGTACACGAAGGTCGCAAAGACTACAAATGTGAAAAATGTGACAAAAAATTTGGACAAATATCTCATTTGCTTCGACACACAAAAACATCACACGATGGTCTCAAAGATTTTAGATGCGACATATGTGAAAAAAAATTTGCACGAAAATCCTATGTGCTTATGCACCAAAAAATAATGCACGAAGGTCGCAAAGAATTCGCATGTGATAAGTGTGTACAGAAATTTGGAGAAAAATCGAAATGGATCTTTCACCAGAGGACTGTGCACGAAGGTCGAAAAGGTTATTCATGTGACAATTGCGAGAAGAAATTCCTATGGAAATCGACTTTGCTCCTACACCAAAAAACAGTTCATGAAAGTTCCAAAGATTATGCATGCAGCAAATGCGAGAAGAAATTTGGACAAAAAGGTCATGTGCTTTTTCACCACAAGATAGTACACGAAGGTCGCAAAGATTTTGCATGTGACAAGTGCGAGAAGAAATTTGGACTAAAATTGAATTTGCTCAGACACCAAATGACAGTACATAAAGGACGCATAGTTTGAGACATGACTCAAATTTTTCGTGCCTGAAAATTATGCATGCAATAACAATGAAAAGAAATGTTAGAATAAGTCATGTTTCACACTTTTTGAAAAATATAAGCTTTTTAATTAGCACATACTAATGGTAAATTTTACAATTTATTGGTTTCTCGAAATATACTGGCTCTAGTTCATAAAAGTTTTATTGAAACTAATTTTTTTTAAATAATTAGATGACCTTACTGCATAATAATTTCGTTTTTTGTAATGGTTTATTTTGCCACTGAGTCTGACATCTTTCAAACGATTTTTCACATAATCGATAATAAGCGCAATCGCATTAAATTTCACGTTCGATGACAATCCATTATTTGTGAGTAATTTATTGTTCATACCAATGTCTCGAATTGTTTTGCAGTCATATGCTTCTAGCGTTCCTGAGAAAATTTTTTTCAGTGAAATAATGAAAAGCGCTGATTTTTGCGTTGTCAATTTTTATTATAAATAGATACTTCTATGGATGTTTTTTTTAAATTTCTAATAAATTGTGTCAATATGATTTATTTTCACCTAATATGTATCTACTATCGTTACACCTTTGTTTACGGTAGCAATTGGTGCTTTGTTTTACCAGAGAACTGTTACTTACTACTCTCTTCGCATTTTTTGGCTATTGCAACGATCACCCAGTTGAAAAAAATTGCATGGATATCCACGTGGAAATCCACGAGGATTAGTAATCCTCGTGGACCATACAGGGATTCCATGTGGATCGTACAGGGATTCCACGTGGATCATACAGGGATTCCTCGTGGATCGATCATGGGCTGAAAAAAATGCAATCACCACGGATATTCTACTGATCAACGCTGATTTTTTTTCAATCCTCGTGGATGTGGAACTTGTTCGCGAGCACGCGCTCAAAACATCCACGAGGATTCGCGGCGAATCACCACGGATTTTCGACTAATCCACGTTGATTTTTTTTCAATCCTCGTGGATGTGGAACTTGTTCGCGAGCATGCGCTCAAAACATCCACGAGGATTTGCGACGAATCACCACGGATTTTCGACTGATCCACGCTGATTTTTTTTCAATCCTCGTAGCTGTGGAACTTGTTCGCGAGCACGCGCTCGAAAATCAACGAGGATTTGCGCAAAAATCCCCGTGGATCGATCGAAAATCAACGAGGATTTCCGTGCAAATCCCCGTGGTTTACGTACGTGGACTCTTTATATGATCCATGTTCGATCCACGTGGAATCAATGTCCCATCCTCAAGGAATCCCTGTATGATCCACGTGGATATCCACGCAATTTTTTTCAACTGGGCAGCCTCAAATTTTATTCACGCCTTGCTTGAAAATATGAATAGGACAAGCGGTTAGTTGATTATTGGCCCTTAAATAAAACCGCACCTAATGTTTGGGAACCTTGAATTGATGACAGATGCACTAGTCAACGATTTTTCATAAATTTGCCAATAGATACTGATCATTTCTGCCAAGAGAGACGTGATCGGTAGTAACTAATAATTTAATAATGGTTTCTTCAGTAAAAAATTATTGTTCAAATCAATAAGTATTTTCTATATCCTTTAAAATTATAAGAAGCCTTCGTAATAGATAAATTCTCTTTCTTAGTACTTTTATCAATCTAGTATCTTATTTTACTCAATATAATTCTTTGAGTTGTCAAAAATCAAAAACTTTAGACAATAAAAAGAGCTTCTCCGTAGTTGACTGTGTTTAATCGGTTGACGCTAAATAATCGATGCTCAATTGTTTGCATTGTTCTACCATTCAATAAATTTAAAAAAAAAGACATGAGTATTTTTGTTAATCAATCAACTCTGCGGTGAGATTTTATTTTCTTTTACATCCTTTCTAGTTTTATATAAAAAAAATATAAGATTTATTCCTTCTAATGATGAAAAAACCCTTTGGGCTCTAAAAATTCAACTGTAAGTGAGATAATAGATCGGCTTACCGAGGAGCGCGTGTCGCACTCCATCTGGCAACTTATACCTGTCGACACGCTCTTCTCATGCTCAAAAAATCACGCTAATTTTTTTTTCGCTCTCATTTGATTTTGATGAGAGATTTAAAAAACTGACAAGTCCATCAGATTTCTTGGGAAAAATCCTATCGACGAGAACAACATTATGAAATTGAGAATCACGAAAAAAGGTCTAACGCCAAATTTTATCGACGCGCAATTTATTTTAAGGTATGACACCTCGCTATGTTGGACTAATTTCAAAATTCTTCCTTTTTTGACATTTTCAATTTCGATCCGCCATTGAACAGCTGAAAATTTCCCTTTTAAACTATAATCACACGAAAAAGCTGACCATCGAATATTCAAAATCGTGGTACATAATAAAACTTTTTCAAAAGATTGTATTGGGGCAACTATGAAAGTCGAATCCTACTAATTTGGATCTAACTTCAAAACCTGTCCTTTTTCTCGCTTTTGAAGCTTTCAATTTCATTCCATCATCGATCGATTAATTATACGTTTTTCTATGCGATGAGGAAGAGAAAAAATTTTCGAGTTTGGATTGGCTCACATCGTCGTAAATAAATTTTCAATACTTTCAATAATTTTTTCTGAAGCCCTCGAGTATTCAAAAAATTTGAAAAAATTCAACGTTATTGGGATTGAATTTTTTCAGATTTTTATAGTATAAAATAACTTGAGAATCAGTAAATCACTTTGTACGGATGTGTTATATATAACGTACGGCAAAAGCAAGTCCAGATCGGTGACAGGTGGCACGTAAACGTGGCGCAACTTACAAGAGTGTATTTCGTTGGATTTGACTATTTTCAAAATAAGTGTGTAGAGTAGCGAGACAACCGAACGTCGTTGCGTCCGTTAAAATGGTAAGATATGCGTTCTGCTGATTTATGCACTTGTTTTGCTATGAACTTTTAATTTTTACGCACCATTGTCACTGGTGCACCATCAAAAATAAATAACATATTACTAATCGGTTGTAGAATAAACTACAATGGAAATGGGCTGCAGCGGTCCTGGTATTGCTTTTTATCGAGGTTCAATCATACTATGCCCCAGCAGGCCCTGTGGACTTCAAAAAAGGCCAGAAAATAGATGTGGAAGCCGCCAAAATGTATAGTTCTCGTACACAACTATCTTACGAATATTATTCGCTACCTTTTTGTTTGCCCAAAAATGGAACCTTATCTTATAAAACTCAAAGTTTAGGGGAAATTTTAAGCGGTGATAGGTGAATTTTTGAAATGTTGTATCTTTTATAGTACAATCACTATTTACAGTAATTGTCATGTTTATTGAAATATTTCAGAGTCGTTAAAACGCCTTATGAAGTTGAAATGGCGCAAAATATATCTTGCAAACTCCTTTGTGATGATATAATAGAACCCATATTTTGGAAAGAAAGTTATTCTTCACTTGTCATTGAACGAATACAACAAGAATACATTGTTCGTTTGTAAGACATTTAAAGCTTTTTTATGAGAGTAAAAAAGTGCACTCAATTTAATATATTTTTCTTATGTTAAAGATTGATTGATGATGTCACAGCAGCAAATTTATATAAAAAAGATAAAGTAGATGAAATGATTTATATGCAACCTGGTTATTATCTAGGTGGTATTGATGAGAAAAATAGGGTGTATATCAACAATTATTTGAAACTAATAATATTCTACCATAAACATGGAGAGTAAGTTTGACAAATTTCTAAAATACTATCTTGTCAAACATTTTTATCATTCTTGCATTACTGCATTACTTTTTTTAGGAATGAATTTAGAATAGATGGTTCAGTGGTGGAAGCTTTGTCAGTAGATTATAAACAAGTAAGCTATGATAGCGTTACTTGTAACATTACACCACAAGCTAGTCCACAATTCATCAATCCAAATGGAACTGAAATTCTATTTTTCTATTCTGTTCAATGGGTGGAAAAATCTAATATTGATTGGGCTAATAGAAATATGTATGCTGTGCAATATCATTTAGATAGACTTTGGTTCAGGACAATCTGTCTAATATTAGTTATAATTTTTTATTCTGGTAAGTTAATTCTTTGAAAATTATACAATATGTTATTCTAATATAGTAGAATGGAATATAATATTACTTTCTAGTACTCGCATATTTATTATATAACAAGGCAATAAAAAAAGTCAAAGCTAGGAATGATGTTGGTAATAGTGATAGGATTGCAAAATCAGAAGGAGCTGAAGAAAAAACCGGATGCAACCTTGTTTATGCAGATGTATTTAGACCTCCTACTAACTCTTGTCTTTTTGCTGCTTTTATTGGCAGTGGCATTCAAGTGTTTTTTATGACGTTTATTACTGTCCGTAAGTTGACTTATTTACTGTATTTATAAATATTCTTTTATGAAACTATTTACAATTTAATAAATCTTATTATATAGTTTTTACCATGCTTGAAAGGTTTTCATCATCTAGTAGAGGAGCTGTAGGAACTTGTGCAATTTATTCTTTTAGTTTCTCTGGACTAGTAGCTGGATATATTTCAGGTAGATTATATAAGACAATGCAAGGGAAAGAGTGGAAGAAAGCAGCTTTTCTGGTAATTTCTTTTGTGTACTATTCATTCAATTCTATGAAGTATATCAGTATTTACATTTTACATGCAATTTATAGACTGCAACTTTATATCCTGGCATAGTATTTGAAACGTATTTTTCCCTTAGCTTTTTTTTGAGGGAAAAGCATAGTTCAGATGCTATTCCTTTTTCTACAATGATTTCATTGCTTGGAATTTGGTTTGGTATTTCCTTACCATTAGTTTTCTTGGGTTACTTCTTTGGGTATCGTAAACCAAATATTACTCATACTGTTACAACTAAGCAGAAGCCAGAAAAAATTCCTGATCAAGTATGGCACTTAAATTGTATAAGAAAGTAGTAAGTTTGACAAATCACTAATTTTTTTACTATTTATTCATTATATTTTAAAAGAAACTTTCTGTCTTTAATAGTCTGTTGACAGGGATATTACCTTTTGGAGTAGTTTTCAATGATTTGTTTTACATTTCTGCTGCACTATGGCAAAACTATTTATACATCTTCACAGGATTTATACTCGTAGTTTTTATCTTATTTGTAATATCTTGTTTTAATGCTTCTACTATTATGGTTTACGCCATGTTAAAGGAAAAAGTAAGTATCTCAATTGTCTTAACAATTGATTTGATGAATTCATAATTCATTTTAAACAATTTTTTATTTCAGGATTATAGATCGTGGTGGGGAAGTTTCATGCTTGGTGGAGTATCAGCTGCACACATTCAGATATATTCAATACATTATTTCTTTGCAAAATTAAATATAACAGAGCTAGCTCCAACTTTGATATATTTTGGTTACATGGGCCTAATAACTATTACATTTTGGTTGTTGACTGGAACCATTTGTTTCTTTGTTACCTATTTGTTTATTAGAAAAATGTATGCAGTTGCTAAATTAGAATAACTGTCACATGTATGGTGTAATAGTTTTTGAATCTCAACTAATAGCTATTGAGTTGCCATCACACTGTCTAGCAGACTCGTAACATCTTTTTCTTTGTATATGGATGCAAGCAACACAATGCATACAATGCATGCATACATTTTCTCTTGATACAAAGTAAGCACACAGATAATATCACAGTCATAAAAAAATTATTGCATCACAATGACAATCATATACCATGCACAACTACTTCTAGTACCTTATAAGGTAGTGTTAAATAATTTTTGTATTTTTGTGTCCATCTATAAATTGTTAAATATCACTCATTACCATCACTCATAATATGACAGTAGTATCGACACTTACTTATTCTTAATAGCAAGATAAAATAGAGTACGACCACTGCTATCCCTCATTACGGGAAGCGTTGGTGTCTTATCAATCATGATTTCTACAATTTCATCAAATGATTTGCCTTCATTTCCACTTTCATTTTTGATATTATCCAATAAAATGTGGGCAGCAGTGTTGTTCCACATATTCGTAGCATCATACGACTCGAAACAAGATAATAAAATCAGGACTACCTCCTTCAACTTGGGTTGAAGTATCCATGGGTAATTTATTTCTTTTTTGCTGCTACAAGGTTGACATCTGCACCATTATCCAAACGAAACTGTACCATTTTCATGTTTCTACTTTGAGCAGCGAGATACAAGGGTTTTTGGCCCAATTTATCTTGAGTATCAATGGGCTTAAAAGAAGGCGCTCTAATTATTCAATAAAATTCAAGTTTGCAACAACGCCTACATAACACAAAATTATCAGTGACTGAATTCAATATGAATGAAGATATGTAAAACGTATCGACTGAAGCACATTAAAGACTGGATGCAAAACGTGCAGAACGCGTATACTCGTTCGAAATTGACCAACGGAAAAGATATCGCTATAGAAATTCAAACTGCCGCCAACACGGACACGTGCAGCTCTTATCGCTGATTCGACTCGTCTACGGCCGAGCTGCTGTGCGTCGAGGCGTCTGCTACGGCTCGATAGCTGTCACACGCAGGCACAACAAGTGAAACGATTACCGAAGTGACTGTACACGGTTATTCTACGTGCAGCGAAAAATGTTGCCCAACATCAACAAGCTCAGCATCAACGACTCGGAGGAGCCTACGAAGAGTTTTCGAGACGATCAGCAGCCGCAGCCCGACATCAGCAAGCTCAGCATCAACGAACGGCCTCCGGAGGAGCAGCAGCCGCAGCTGCAGCTCTGTTGTCACGTGCTCGAATATTTCGTTGCCTACAAAAAGAAACGCGACTGTGCCGCGTTCGAGTCACTGTTGTCCCTCTGCGACAGGTGCCTCCCCAGGTTGAATGCGGACGACCTCGTCGACGAGAACGGCAACACGGTGTTCCACGCTCTGCTGGGTGGCGGGACGCGACCTATGGACGACGACGCGGTCTGCCTGCGAATCATCAGACGTATGGTCCTGATCGGCGGGCCCGCGTTCTGCGAGGTGATGGTTCGGCCCGACCGACTCGGCCGTACGCCGCTGCATCTGGCGGCCAAGCACAAGTTCCGCGACACGATGAAGTTCATTCTGACCTGGTTTCGAGACTCGTGGCAGGAGCCGCTGGGCGGAGTGGCAGCCAACGGCAGCTCGGCCCTGCACACGCTGCTCGACGCCCTGAAAGAGGGCGAATCGGGCGCATACTTTTACGAGGTGATACAGCTGATGCTGAGCCAGTGCGGGAATCTTCTGTGGGTGGGCGACAAGCACGGGCGCACGCCGCTGCACATCGCCGCGCAAAATCACCAGGACATTATCGTGAATTGTCTGATGAAATATTACAGGTGATAATGAAGTGTGGTGAGCTCGCTTTGACTTTAGTCACGTTCTTTATTTTGGTCACTCGAGTTTATTGAAGCTATTTGGATTTTACAGATGAGAGAATGGGGATGATTACAGTATCATCTCGATGTACAGTATTGAGAACGTCGATTATATTCTGAGAATATGTATATTTCATTGTAAATAGCATAAAACAATATTTACATAGTACTTTCTGTTGTTTCGATGAAATCATTTGTGATTAGTTTGGTGCCGTTTAGAATTGATAATTTTAAATAATACTTGGTTCGAGACTTAAGCTTGACTTCCACAAGGCAATTATAGGAATTTTCTATTCCTAAATAACTTGTTTTTGTATTTATACTGCAGTACCTAATTCTTTGAATTTTACATTAGTGAATAAAGAATTTTAGAATACACGTTATTGTTTTAATTGATTTGTGCACATACATTCACATGTAGATGAATATTTGTCTTATGCTATTAAGCATAATGTTAACTGTAAACTTTTAATATCATATGTAAAACAATTTCAGTGTTGTTGAAATATTCAAATAATGGACGGATAAAACATGGCAACACTAGTATAAATAATCTTTGGTACACATTCCAAAAACTAGAAAAGTAAAGATTAAAATGCATCCATGCCTAGAACTAATTTTTTTATAAACAATTTCTCCTCAAAAATGTTAATAGAACTTATTCTTACATTTGTGCTAACATTTTTGGTCTACACACTTATAGTTATTACACTTTTTTTCTTGAGTATACTAACGTTTGACGTAAAAAAATAGATAACATTGCACTCACAACCTATCTGTACTAGTGAACTCAACGATATTTTACACAAAAGTCAACTGAAGCACAAAAAAATGGTAAAAATAGATTACATCAAAATTAATGCTATAAAGTCTTTGATTAAGTAAATGCTAATAATTCTCCTACGTCAACGTTTAGATCCAAATCTTTGGTATCAGATATTTGTCTGCGCGGGGCAGGCCTGGGTGTATGTGACACATTGATACGTGGTTTAGGTTCCATATGACTAGATAGAGTTTCCAAAATTGAACTTGTTATGGCTGTGGTACTCTGAGTGCTGTAAGCCATGTCGCTATCTCTACTGCCCGTGACTGATGGCCTTGAAGAAAACATTGCTTCAACAGAGTTAGTTGGTTTTCTTCTTGAGGCTTCAAGCTGCAATTACAAAATTTTATTTTGGTAACATTTTTTTTCAATACCAATGAAAAATATCAAAGTTAGTTATTCACCTTTTCCTGAATTTTTCTGGAAATTTCAGCAATTTTTTCACTTTGAGAAGTTTTAAGTTGAATATTTTCAGTACTCGATGATCTATCGTTACTGGATAAAAATTCATTTTCTTCTGGTACACTGATTTACAAAAAAGAAAATCCATTCAATAAGGCAAATTCAATCTTCAAATGTGAGAAAATATTTACACACCTGAATAACTTGCTGTTCCAGTCTCCATCACCAATCTCTCTCTTTTCCGCGTGGCTCGAGTCCCTGAATTCTTCGAAAGACCTGGTCACATCGGCACTCTTGATCGGACTGGCATCGTCTTTCTCCAAATCGAATAATACTTTTTTCTTCACCATATTGCTCATGGTACCGCTGCCACCGCCACCACCGGTGGTCGACTTCAGAACGCTTTTACTGCTGTTTTTCGGCGAGGCCCAACTCGGCGGCTCCGATTGCCTGACGGAGGTCTCGTGGCCGAGGAGGCTCGTCGCCGACTCCTGCATCGTAAAAGCGTACGAGTCCTGCAGCAGATTACGCGCGTTCATGGACGGCGTCGACGTGACCCTCGTAGCAGCGCCATCCGGCTTGTTGGTGGGCTGCTTTTGCTGCTGTTGCTCCTCGATGTCCCTTATGAAGTCCTCGATGCTCTGATAGTTGCGTTGCTGCTGCTGACCAACACTACCACTACCACCTCGAGCTTTTATAGGCTCCATGACGATGTCGGCCAGCTGCTGTTGTTGCTTGTAGTGTGCTCGTATGCTGCTGGCGATGCTGCTGCCCCCGTCGTCGCTCGATAAGCTCGTTTTGCGCAAGGGCGAGGACGTTTCGTTCTTTTCTCGCTTGGACCTGGATGAGCCCTCGTTGAGAGCTTGTCGCTTGATATTTTGAATATCCTGATTCGTTGGTTTCTTAGGCAGCAGCTCGAGACTGAGACGACGCTTGGGTACATTCGTGTCTCGCGGAGATGATTTTTTCGGGCTAATAACGGGCGTAGGCGTTTCTAAAAAAGAAAAAACATTGAAATGTTATTATTGCATAATTCAACAAATTCAACTAATAGTAAATCAAAACGAAAATTCATCAACAACTCAACAAACCATATCCCTTGGGAACCTTGAATTCCTGAAAAGCTTTCAGCGCCTTCGACTTGACGTTCTTCATAGCCTTGTTCAAGAATGACTTCTTCTCCGGTTCGTTGAATCGCTTGGGCGACTTTTGATGACTGAATATCTTCTTCGTTAGCTCCTCCAAGATATTCTTTTTTATATGCTCGTACTTGGGAATCCCCTGTAGCAAAAAAAAAAAAAAAAAAAACAAAAAACGAGTAGCGTATATATTCATAAAAAAGCTCTATTATAAAGCTCGCCACTCACCTTCAAAGCCATGGCCTGCTGGTGCTTGATACTCTCCATCTTTTGCTTGTAAGTGGCCACGGGGATGCCCGTCCACTCAGGATCCAGGCCCATCTCCCTGAGCTTGTCCTCGAACTCCTGACGGATCTCCTGGCGCACGACGCCGAAGGTGGCGGCAGTGGTGCTGCTGCTATTGGTGTTGGTGGTGGTGACGATCGACGATTTTCGTTTCGCGGTTATCTCCTCGTTATTGTCCTCTTGGTCCATGGGCAAATTTTGTGCGTCGAAATCCGAGTCGTCGTCGTCGTCGTCGTCGTCGTCGTCGGTGCTCTCGGTGTGCGTGGCCGAGGACTCGCTCGTCTCCTCGTCCGAGTCCTCGTCGGTCTCCATGTCCGATCCGGACACGCTGCTGGTCTCGCTTTTACCGGACTCGTCCAGTGACGAGTACTTGTTGCCTCCTCGGACGGTCTTTTTGTGAGGCTTGATTTTTTCCGGCTTCTTCGCGTGGCTCTTGGCTCGAGACAGGCTCGATTCTTTGGTGTTTTCCTCTGCCTTCAGCCTCGGGACTTCGGTTTTTTTTGGTAATTTCGTCGCGGCCTTGATGCTGTCGACTGTGGCGTCGGCGAAACTTCCTCCTCGCAACCGGTGGAATGTTTGCTGTTGCTGCTGTTGCTGTTGGTGCTCCGTCAGGGCGCCCGTGCTCGTGACGACGACCGCCGTGGTGGCTGCATTTCCGCCGATGACATGGCTGTTTTCCGCCGCGTAATTTCGCTTCAGACTGCTGAGCCGCTCGCTCTGCTCGTGCAGCAGCCTCGACTGATCGCACGACTGCCTCTCTAAAAAAGACACCTTCTCCTCGTACTCGGTCTTGGTGCGATTGGCCGACTCCTGGGTGAGTTTGAGCTCGGCGAACAGGCTCTCGATGTCGCGCCGATGCTGCTGCTCGAGCTGCTCGAGCTTCGAGCGCCAGTGGCTCTCCTGCTGGGCGAGCTTGAGCTGGACCTCGTTGGAATTGGACGTCAACTGCGAGCGAGCGAGAGGGAACGTGAAAGAAATTATCGAGCAAAATTTTCGAGGATAATTTATTGAAGTATTTACGTGATCGTGAAGTTGATTTTTCAGTCGCTGTATCTCGTTTTCCTGATGATTCATCAGTTCCTTGATATTTTCTTGATTAACTTCCGTCTCTTGTTGATTGATATTGCTGTCTTTCTTTTTGATATTCTATAGAAGAAAATAAAATTTTTTAATTTCTTTTCTTAGCTAAAAAAAAAAATAAATTATAATGTACCCTTATTTCAGTAAATAACATTGACTTCAAATTGCTTATTTCCTCTTGATACTTTCTGTACTGTTCGTCCTTGTTCGAATCGTCGTCGTCGTTAGAAATTTTCTCCTTGATTTTCGCCTCGCTGTGAATCACTCGCTCGGTTTGATTCAATCTCTCCTTGAGAGTCTTGATCTCGTTGTGCAGCTTTTCCGTTTCGGCTCGATACTCGTCTTGCACCAAGCTGCTGGTCGAAAGATTGGCGAGATGAGCGTGACGTCGGAAGAGATGAGCGTTCGCGAATGACGCTGATACAAAAGTCTTTGGGCAGTGAGGACACTAAAAGTAATATTAAACATTTGCATTTTAAGATTTTTAAACATGCTATAGTAGAGAAATAATGTGTAAGTTACTTTGTGTATTTCTCCATGACTTTCAGATTTCATATCTATGCTTTTCTTATCTTTTATTTTTTCTTTAATTTCTTTAATGACGTTCTGCTGCTGATCAACTTCTTCTTTTAGTTTTACATTTTCTTCCAACTTGTATTTGAGTTCTTCCTTTAAGATCACAACGCTTTGATCCAAGTATTGCTTACAGTATAAAAGATACTCTACAGCGAGCTGGGACAAGCGAAAGAGTTTAACAAAATTTGGGTCCAAGATCTTCACATCGTATTCGCTATCTAAACAATAATCAACAACATTGTTAACATTCTCATCGACTGTATTGAAGTCTCGCTCTCTTATCACTCTATCTATGTCAATTGAACCTGTGAACAAAAAAATATGGATCAACTATACATTCATTATTACCTGGAAATTTTAAACTTAGTAATAACATCTTGAGATAAATGGTATTGTAAGCACCATATAATTCATGTGCTATTTGACTTCTCATTAGCCCAAACTACAATGTAATCTTATGATACTCACTGATGCGGTTCCAGTCAACGCGCACTCTTGACGTATGACTATTGAAGTAGAATCCTGATTCGCGAGCTAGTTTTGGAAAATCATGGCACCAATTGGAGGTGCTTCTCAAGGTAAATGCCATTTATGAATTCACACAATCTTGCAGCAGCTGTAACTATTACGCACACACATTAAATTATGTCAAATTATTTTTTGTTTGCAATGTTGTTATAAATAAACAAACATGAGAGGGTACTAACCTAGGAAAGCGCGTATGCAAACAATAACTTGGCAACCCCATCACACACACACAGCAGAATAAGCAGCCTGACGTACACTCAGCGAAAGGGTTGGCATCTATAAAAAGATAATCAATGGATAGTCTATACGTATGTATATGCTATGCTTAGGGCAATAGACACTACAAGCGAGTGTGACGCAGGCGTGCGTGCTCTATATGTGTCAGAGTTCACAGGTATCATATAAGTGTACACAATGCAGAAATGCCACAAACCTATAATCGAAAGAAAGGACTAATGCTGCTGCCGCAGTCCAGCCACTGCTGCTGCCTGCGTTGCCGCCGCCGTATCGTAATAAGCCGCGGCTGCCACCCGCGCCGATGACGACGACGACGATCCATTGGTAACGGGGTTCAGGAAAAATAAAAACATTGGATATTCACGGAACAACGCAGTCACTGCAGTACACACACCTGCGGGCTGATAACGTAACAGCAGCACTACTGGAGGCAGTCGCTCAACTATGCGGAGCTGCTGCTGCTGCTGCTGCAGGCTATCGCCACCCTTTGTACGACGATAATAATAATGGGCAACGAGCCTGCGTCACCTGTGCGATACGTACAGTATACGCGGATGTGTGTGTGTGTGGGGGTAGTAGCCACCACCACCACACAAGCTCCGTCAGAAATCAATCGATAACTCGAAACTGCCGGCTATATGCAACTGCACGTTTTTTCTTTTTCGTCGTTGATACGCTCGATGCGCCTGCATTTCAACGAATCTACATGATAACTCGTCCCGTGCGGGTCTCGCAATCGCGTGCTCATGCAGCTTGTTTTGAGTTTCGACTTGTGTAACGTATCCGCGCACACGCGTCGTCTGCTCCGACGCGCCAGATAATAACACGTAGCAGACGATGATTTTTGAAATGCTTATATACATAGAGACTGTGTAACTGTCAAACGTTCGGAGAAATCGAATACGAGCGGCAACGGTCGCTGAACGAATTATCGGGACTCGAGATCGCCACGTAGTTTTTTTTTTTATTATTCGTTTCAATCGACGTCCAAAACGTAATCGAGGCTAGAGGATCGTTGCAATTAGGGACGCAACGACGATCGTAATCTTTTTTTTCGTTTTGTTATTAATCTTTCGATCGCTGCTGCCGCGGCGCGTCCAAGCTTTTATGTTATATATGCAGTACAGCATGGGAGCCGCATAAGAGCCGTTTGTTTGTAAATTGAAGACGATTGAGCGTACAGCCACGTGTCATTTATGACAATGGGTATTTATCGTGTACCAATAAAGACGAGCGGGATTCGTATTAATCGAAAGGGGAGATTTTTGCTCGTACATATGCATCGAGATATCGCAACACGATACAATACGCACATAATGGCATCGGAATTTTTATCGCGCTGCGATGCAAAACTTTTGCTACATACATATAATACGAGTTACAGAAACGCGCATAACGCGAAACGTGCGACGGCACGTGCTGCGCGCGTAAAAGGTCAATTATCGTGCAGTAATGCAACGAAATTGATGAAAAAAAGGAAGAATATTATGAATTCGCGGTGTCATCGAATTTTGCAATATCATATGCGCCGTAACGCACTACAATAATATTCTTACAATGATATAAAACTGCATCCGAGCTCGCGTGAAAATTTGTCGAAGGAAACAGCTCCGTAATGATCGCTCTATTAATCCGTTGCAGTACTGCTACCGCACCGTTTCCTCATTACCGCGGGTATTTTTCGCGCGTAAACGCGACGTCAAAAGCCTCGAGGAGCCGCAAAAGAGGCACGTAAATGGTCGATAGTGTTAGTATTATTATCGTTACGATACACAGTCACACGCGGCCTAATTATAATGCACGAAACGACGCGACGATTCGAGTACAAAGGAGCACAAAAGAATTTTAAAATTTTCGTTCAATGGCAGCTGGATATGGCAGCTGGAGATTACATCGATTTTTGCTCCTTTGCGCGCTCAGATACAGGGAGAGTCTCGGAGCTGTCCATTGTGGAAAACGGGGCAGGAGGCGGTGGTGACGGTGGTGAATTCCATTCGGCGCGCCTCGCTACACGCACACAAAGGAAGGGGATCGATCGATTTTTTGCGCCATCCATACAGTCCACTTTCTGATATATGTATATATAGCCCATGACGATGACGTAGTGTAGACTGTGTAAGCTCGGGTGTGCTACTACCATATGTGCGTGTGAGACACACATTTATACACGCGTTCTATTCTTACGATATTCACCACCGCGTGGACTGTACATATATATAAGCGTGTGCTTTTAACACATGTGCCGCGCGGACCTACTTCGGAGTCTCGAATGCTATATATGAAAAACGCGGTGGCCATCAGTTGGCGCTCGGCGTGCAACGTGTCGTCGTCGTCGAGCTGCCGCCGCCGCTGCTGCTGTGCAGTTTTAATAAATAATAATAATAATAATAAGTGTCATGTCAGTCACGTGATTCAGAAGAAAACATTTTCCTATACTTAATATTTTTACGGAAAATTTCTACAAATTAGTTAGTTAAATCAATAATCATGGAGGTGAACAAAAAGTACGACAATCCGAGCCCGAGACTGTCGGCCGGCGCACTCAGCAAACTGACGTTCTGGTGAGTTTACGCATATATTTTTTGTGTTTTCAACATAAATGAAGCCGCGCGTGCTGCTTTGTCGCTGTTTCTGCCGCTGCTACTCGATATATATATCATGCCTAATCGCTCGGTCCGCTTGCCTCTATTTGTATACATTATATCTTATGTAAGCTGTGCTCTGTATAGCGATCGCCGCTCGCAATTCTCTCTCTCGCTGTATAGCCGCATGTAATAGCCGCATTATATGGGCAGCTAATTAAAAAAAAAAAAAAATTGCGCAACACGTGACGACGGGCCTTTACATATATTACATACATTGGCCAGTTTTGCCTCGTGTGCTGCTTCGTGTTAATGAGTCTGCGGCTTTTACACATTTATAATATAAATTATGTCTTTTCGTGTTTCGATACTCACGATGACGTTTGCGAATCTCTCGTTCGCAAAACCATGTTTTTTTTTTCTTACATGTAGCTGGCTCAACAAGCTGTTTTGGTATGGAAGAAAGCACGACCTCGAGTTCAAGGATCTGCACAACACGCTGCCGGCCGATCTGAGCGAGCCGCTCGGCGACCGACTGGAGAAGTGAGCTTTTATATACGTTTGTTTTTCGATCGTTAGATTCGTACGTGTACGTATAAAATTTATGTTTATTATGATATAGATTTTGGAAGGAAGAGGTGGACGAGGCGCAGGCAAGCAGCGGCAGCAGGAAAAAGAAGAGGAAGAGGCCGAGCCTCGCCAGGGCCATAAGGAGGACCTTCGGTTGGAGCTTTTTTTACTACGCGGCTCACATACTGTTTCTTACGGTCGTCGTGAGGTAAGATCGATAAGTGCGCGTTGCATATGTATGCATCGAGTACGAATGGGTTTATAGTTTTTATATTATATGTTATATTATATCGTGGGCTTATAGTCCAAGCAAATCCACGAGTTTAACATTGAATCAAAGTTTATTCATTCTAACGATAGATAAAAAAAAAAGCAAAAAATATTAACATCAAAAACATTAAAAAAAACATTAAATAACAAATCATGCTCATCCCGAGTCTTGACCCTCAACCGCCAAGCAAATATTATGCAAATCCCGGTTCATCAGCAGCCCGATTATCTTCTCGCAGCAGAGAATCGGCAGCTCGTTGCGCGTCAGCTCCTGGAAAGGCTGTAGCGCCCAGCGCCGGAAGAATCCTCGCGCGAGCTTCTCGCTCAGATGCAAGGCTATCTTCGGGAGTTTCTCGCAGGTATACCCGGTGCAACCGTCCTGCAAACGGGGATGGCCGAAATTCTGCGACTCGAACGATCTCGCCAGCTCGTAATAGTCCCTGTACGTGACTATCTTGGCCGCCTCCTCGGGTCGCATCCGGATCAGATCGTAGACCGACAGCCTCGGGACTTTCGACGATTCCTTTTTGCGGCTAGGCTTGCATCTTCCGCTTATTTTTCCGCTTCTTATTCGTCTTTCTAGTTCTGCTGAAAAGAGGAAATTCCCAATCGCGATCTCTTCTCTATCCTTCGCAATACATTCGGGATGGACCCTCGGAAGTATCATCAACTTTTTCGCTTGCTCGACGAAGCGCTCGTCGTCCTCGTACCAAGATCTGTCCTGCGCCTCGCGCTCGCTCAGGTAGTACGCTCCCATCCGGGCGAACGTCATCATGACGCGCGACGCGCCGCGCCGATCCAGCTCGTAACCGCCTCTCTTCTCGAGGCACTCGACGACGGCCAGCGCGTTGGCAGCCAGCTCGAACTCGAACGCTTTGTGTTGGTTTATCCGGCTCTTGTCTTTCACCGGACACTGCCAAACGGGCGGCAGCTCGACCAGGGCGGCGTCGGCGCCGTAATCCAGCAGCAGCTCGACCTTCTTCAGATCGAGCCGCTCCACGGCCAGGCCCAGTGGCGTCAGGCCGAGTTCGTCCCTGGCGTCGATCAGCAGCGGCCTGCCGCTGGCCCCGGCGATCCTGAACATGGCCCGCAGCGCGCCGCGATTGGCGCGCATCGCGTGCACCGGCGTACGGCCCCGCTTGTTGGCGCGATTCGGATCCCCGCCGAGTCTCAGCAGCAGCTTGACCGACTCCTCGTCCTTGCCCTCGACCAGATGCAGAGGCGTGTCGCCGGTCCTTTCCACGAGGTCGTTGACGTCCGCCCAGCCGAGCTCCAGGAATTGCCGCACGCGGCGTGGAAAGAAGACGGCCAGCCGGCAGTACATGTGGAAGTGCGAGTAGCCGTCCTCCTCGTCGACGTAATTCGCCCCGTAGTAAATGTGGAACAGATCGTCGAGTATATCACGGCATTCGTCGCTGCGCGGATGCCCATAGTCCGAGGCCAGTCGAGCAGCCAGGTGCAGAGCCGTGGTGCGACGCAGAATCGGCTCGCCCGTCGCCTCGTCCAGTTCGGGCTCGCACCTGTAGCCGGCTAGACGCACGAAATCGATGAATCGATTACCCGCCATTTTGTAATAGATGTCGACCAGATTCAGCGATTCCTGCAGCAGCAGCTCGATCTCCTCGGGCCGAAAGATCTCGCGCAGATCGGGTACTTCTCCTCTCCAGTTCTCGACGAGACGATCGAGACGACTGAGAAATTGCCGTCGCTCCCACGACGACCGCCAATCGACCACGTCGGCGCGCATAGCCTCGATCTCCGCCAGCTTGTCCGGGATAGGCTTCTTCTTCGTCATCTTTTTTATTTGGCCTCGCGAGCGCCGTGCAGCGGCTCCGAACCTACTGTCTGGGATACGCTGGCGACCCGGCGCGCGGCTTCTCCTCGTGCGCGGCTCCGACAAAAAGACCCGCAGGTTGTGCGGCTCGTCGTCCGAACTGGCCATTTTCCTTATTGCGACGCGTTGAATACTTTGGTTTTACACCGATTTAACGAGAATCGCCGATTGCTGTTTCGAGGCGTGTATAAGTTCGACGTTTAACCGACACACCGTATACGCTTTATTTACGTTTGAGACTGAACGAGAGACTGTTGTAAGAGACTGAGTTGCCTGTACGACGATACGCGACGTAAGAGGACAAGTTTACGAGGCACAGAAGTGTTTGGATGCGAGACAAGGGTGGGACTTACCGAACCACGTGACCCGACGATTCGAATCGAACGGAATGAAATATGAATTAACGTAATTTTTAGCTTTATTTAGACGAGACTGTAGAATTATTAATGTGTCAGACAAATTGCGGCCCACTCGAGGTGGGTGAATTTTTCAAAATTCAAAAAGTTATAAGTACTCGTAGTATTGAAATGAGATTTTCAAAATAAAACAATTATGAGAGCTTTCAATAATTACGAAAACAAACTTTATTAAATTTTACGCTAAAATGATAATTAAAATACAACTTTTCTTGCTTCGGTTGAGCGAATATCGCCTGTGAACTTTTGTAATCCATAGATTGCTTCAATTAGGCTTTTACATTCAACGAAAATAATGAATTTTAAGCGTTACTTGCTTTTAGACGCCTTGGAAGGAGTTTGATTTTATTTTTAGACGTGTAATAAAGGCGTTACGATCCTTTTTTAAATAAAATTTTTCATACGAATCAGTGATTTTTTTCTCGATCAGAATCGAATAAGTGCTTAGAATTAGATCGAGGAATACGCGTGAATTTTTCCAGCATATTTAGATTTTTAGATATCACTTTTTTCGTATGGGTGGGAAATTTTATGAGGTATACGATGACAAACAGTATATACATATTTTTTTATTGTTTTCCGGTCTGCAATCGTCAAGCAACTGTTTCGAGGTAATTTCGGGTACTCACTCACCTTCTTGTTGACTGTATACTCTTTCAATGAGACTGTGGCATATTTTATTTAATAATATTTATATTTTTCATGATGGTCTCGATTAATTGCTGTGATACGATGATTCACTTTATTTTGATTCATTGGATTAATACAGTAAAAATACAACTTCAGCATTACATTACGAGCTTCGGCCCGCAGCAATGGAGCAAATATTGAATAAATCTTCGTTCGCCAGCTGCTCGATGATCGAAGCACCGATGTCGATCGGTAATTTTCGGTGCGTCAGCTCCATAAAAGAAACCAATCCCTGACGTTGATAAAAGCCTCTCAGCAGAAAATAACATTTTCTTCATCCCATGCTCGAAAGTACGTTCTTTCACCTTCGAATTCGGGGACGAAAGTAATACTTTTGCTCCCCGACAATATCGCGCGAAAGTTATTATCTCCATGACTACGGCAACCTACATTTCAATTATCGTTTGGTTTCGACTATGCAATAGATGAATTATATTGATTTAGTTTATGACGTACATATGCCAGATTGAATAAATATTATAAGACTAACAATTCTATGAAGTATCAAAATTGAACAGCCATAATTTAACGTACACATTTCATTACATTCAATTCCAATCCGAAATTTAAATCGTTAAAGATGGTAGTTGGAATAAAAAATGAGATGTAAGAGAACAAAGACAGTCAAAATATGTTAATTTTTATAATATATTTTGAAAAATTCTTTCAACTTTAAACGTTATTCTAGGTTACTCAAGTTTCTACTCGTCTACCTCAGATTGAGTGAATTACTTAATTGAAATTTTCATAATTTTACAAAATAAATGTTTAATTGAATACAACTTAAAATCGGAACAAGGAGAAAACATACGGTACTAATTCATGCTTATACTTTACGGAATCGTTTGTATTTTATTAATGCCATACTTATCTATGATTTACAAATATTTATTAATAATTTAAGTTATGTACTAATAAATATTATTATTGATGGTATTTTTTGCAAAGCCCGCCGTCGACCAGCAGCCCTCGCTGCGCTCGGGCCGCAAATGTCGGCGGGCTTTGCCATGTAAGCGTAAATTCATGGATACAATTTTTTTTAATAAAATATTTCTTAACTATGTTAAGCAAACGTACTTTCGAGCGGGGATAAAGAAAAATCGTATACGCGACTCGGGACAAAAGTCAAACGCCCGTCTCTGCGAGCTTGCACCCTCGGCTTCGCCTCGGGTGCATAACCTCGCAGGGACGGAAGTTCGACTTTCGTCCCTTGTCACGTAATATACTATTTCCGCTTGTGCATCGCAAAATAAAAATTATTATTATCGAAGAAAACAAAAATGAATTTTTTGCGAAAAGTCTGTGGATGACATTGGCTGCGCAGTGCGTATGCTCCAAAAGCTCACCCAACGTTCACTGTAAAAAAGCTTGAACTGTAGGAGTCTTCTTCGACCCTTTTTAGGCTTTGTACGTATATGTTGGGTTGTTGCAGCGTGCGAAAGACTACGCGTGCTCCGATGAAGGAGACGAGTCCACACTCGGATGCTGGATATTTCCCAGACTGCCAGGATCTTTGCTTCGTCCAGGACTGTAGGTAGTGGAAGGTCGTTGCTTTATATAGGCTTAAAAGTAGTCGTTGTAAGTTCTGCATATAATCTTCAAAAATACCATTTTTAAAATGAAAAAATAAAAAAAAATACTCGAAAAAGTTCTGAGAAAAATTCGCTCGAGTCGAGTCTCTCCGAAATGAAAAAAATTGCAATGTTAAAAGGTACGACGATAAAAAAAAAATCGTTTCGAGGTCGATTCAGGTAATTTTTGGTACTCATTCACCTTCTTGTCGACTTTAATTTTTCAATGAGACCGTGGCATATTTTATTTAATATTTATTTTTTCTGTATATATGCATAAATAACTCGATGGTCTCGATGATTTACGTGTGGTACGATGATTTATTTAATCGATTCATTCATTTGTAATTATAAATCTTTTGCGTTACAGAGCTATGACCAGCAACCGACAAGCAAAAATTCAATAAATCTTTATTATTCGTTATCTCCTCGATGATCATGTCGCAGCAGAGAATCGGCAGTCGATGGCGCGTTAGCTCCATGAATAAATCCAATCCCCAGCGCCGGTAAAATCCTCTCAGCAGTATCGAAGCCATCCTCTTCTCGACCGCCAAGTGGTTGTTCTCGGGTACGGAATCCAGCGATCTTCGCGCGATCTTGAATTGCGCGTAAGTGAATCGTTTCGACGCCTTCTCGATTGGTAACCGCATGAGATCGTCGAGCGACAGACTCGGACTTATCTTTATCTTTCTCGCTTTGCTAGCGAACTTTTCCTTGTCGTACCAACGTTTTACGCGATCCGGAATCTCGTCGAGCAATCCGTGCTTGGCGAAAAACTTCATGATGGTCAAGGCGTCGCTTCGGCTCGTTTCGTAGCCTTCGCTCTCCAGGCGCTGGACGACGCCGAGAGCGCCGGATAACACTTCGACTCTCAATGCGCTCGTTATTTTTTTGTATGATCCATATGGTTTGTATGCTTCGTACAATTTAACGTGATCGTCGAAGTCGCTCTCGGCGGGGAAAACGAAGCTGGACAGATCGGCGCCGTTATTCAAAAGCACACCGACCACCAAAGGCAAGAGATTCGCCACGGCCAATTGCAGCGGTGTACGGCCCCGATTATCCTTCGCCAACACCTGCACCGGTCGATCGACTTCTTTGCAGATCTCGAAGAATATTTTCGCCAAGCCGTCGTTGTCGTAATTGTCATAAATGCTTTTCATAGGCGGCGATTGTAGTATTTTTTTCCACTCGAAACTCAAATTGTTGTATTCCAGGTGGTGCAAATCCGGCGGCATCGAGACTCCGTTGATCTTGACGAACAGATCCGACGCGTTGCCGTCGTAAAGCTCGTACCTTTTGCAGACAAGGTGCAGAGGCGTCTCTCCTTCGGCGTTGACGACGTTAGGATCGGCGCCGTGTCTGAGCAGCAATTCGATCAAGTTTTTCCGGCCGTGGAGCAGAGCCAAGTGCAACGGTGCGTTTCCCAATTTATCGCGAGCGTCGAGTTGCAACGTCACATTCATTTCGTCGTTAACTTTGAAGAATAGCTCGGCCAAGTCTCCTCTCTTGCAGAGGACGTGGAGAGGCGTCTCACCTTCGGCGTTGGCGATATTAGACGATGCGCCTCGTCTCAGCAGACATTCGGCTGCCTTTGCGTTGCCCGACTGCAGAGCCAAAACCAGCGGAGTCCGATCCTGTTTGTCCAGGACATCGACCAGCACCGGCCGATGTATCTCGTCGCAGACGTCGAAGAACATCTTCGCCCAGTCATCGTCGTCTTTTTTATAATTGCAAACGACGTGCAGCGGAGTCGATCCCTCGTCGTTGGCCAGAATGGGATCGGCGCCGTATCTCAGCAGTAACTCGACCGCGTCCTTCTTCTTGCCCTTGAGAGCCAGGTGCAGCAGTGAATTACATGTTTTTGGCGCGAGACGGTTGGGTTCCTGGCCAAGCTCGAGGAATTTCTTCACGACGTCGTCACAGCCATTTATGCATGCCACATGGAAATGCGTCAATCCTTCCTCGTCGACGTAATTCACGTCGAATCTATCGTAAATTCTAAAAAGATCAGGGATTAGGCTTGTTTCATTTTTCCAAGCTGCACGATGAATTGGTGTGGTGCGACGCAATAATGGTTTTTCGTCTTCATCAACTATTGGCTCGTCCTTGTAGCCGGTCCTGATCACAAAATCGATGAATATTTGTTTTCTTTCGTTACAAGCCATGCGATTTATCGAATCGTTGAGAAGACGCTCGATCTCATCGGGCTTAAAGATATCTCGCAGATTGGGAAGTTGATCATTCCAATTTTTGATCAAACGTAAAATTTGATCGAGTAGTTGACGTCGCTCGCGTTTGACCTCCCAATCGATATTTTGCAACGATAATCTCTGTAATAGAACTAATTTTTCCTCGTCTTTGTAATCGCAAATGTTGCCTTCTCCGGGTCGACACATTTTTTACACACATACACACACACAATCACTTAAATAACTTTACAGAAATCACTTGTTGCATTTAATACTTTGAACACAAAACCTACGATCTTTATTTTGCTCTTTATTAAATGAAAGTGCAAAATGTCGGCGCAACGCTGTAAGTCTCGTACGAAGAGGTGCGAGCTACTGTGGGATCAGCGGTACATATGGAGCTATTGTATCGTGTCGACATTTGTATACGAAAGTATCGATACTAATCGCGATACTTTTTATGCTCGATATATCGATACTTGATAATTTACTGCTTAATATCGAAATTTTTTTTTTAAATTAAAGATAAAAAATGATTGGGAAAAATTATGTGAATTATTTTGAAAATGATAGGGAAGCGTTTGAAAATGCAATTATTGAAATACTTTTATAAAATTTTAAATTCTTGAGATTGTTCTCAGTCTATGAGTTAAATTAAATGATTGAATGAGTCAAGTTAAATGATTGCATAATTAATTTTACTGCAATAATGTATTATGTACGCTGAGAAAAAAAATTCATTGATTCAATGAAATATTTAATCAAATACAATCTATGAAATAATTTCATTGAAATAATCTTTTTTTATTTCATCCAACAAAATATTTAATTGTTTTTACAAAAGTTTCATTGCTTCAATCAATCATTTGATTAAATTGATAGTAAATAAAATATTAAATTAGATTTCATTGAATCAATGAATTTTTTTTCTCACTGTAGTTGCTTCATGGGACATGAAAAACCCAAAGTTATTGAATGTTCTTTTAGCTCAAAATAATTATTAGGAGTAGATGGAGTAATTTGAGTCAAATGATGTGAGCAATTTTAAGTTTTATATTTCATATTTCAAGAGAACGAAACAAGCTATAGCGTTCTGGTAGCCGGGATTTTTTCACGACATATCCATAAGCAAGAATATTGGACTTCTTTAGATTCTTCAATGAGTGAAATAATTGTAAAAATGTTGAAAAAATGTTTTAAAAAAATGGTTTCATCTTATCAAAGAACAGAAAGATTTAATTATAACTCTTGCCTGTAGTAATGTTCACAGCCAAGGCTGCAGCAGAAAAATTTTTTCGATCGAAATTCAATAAGATGCATAAACCAATGTGATTTAATTTGAGAATTTCAACTTGCGTAGGTAATATAGGCTATATGTACGTCAATTTTTGGTATATTACTGTGATTTCTAGTTTAAAAAGAAGTTGAAAAAAGTGTATTTTTCCACTGCGCCAGATGTTCTTTTTACTAATATTTTTATCCATTTTAAAATGTTTTAATTTTAAAGTAGATGTAAACGCTTCATTTAAATTCTCGACGATACATCCTCTTGTCAAAGTATCGATGTATCGGTGGTATCGAAGATCATCAAGTATCGATACACTCGATATCGATACATTAGCTGGGGGGGAAGACAGGGGCCGTTACATCCTGCGATAGTCTCCCCCCTCGTTTGTAATAGCTGCGATTCACGGGAAATTCCACGCGTGAAATTGTAATGACCGATTAGCCATTGAGTGCGTTTGCAAGTGTCATTCAACGAATGAAGTTACGAACGCACTTCAGCATACGGTAGCGAAACAGCGCAAAACAAAAGAAAGTTTGTACTTCAAATGCCGGTATAGGCGCGTGTGAAAGAGTATATAAGCGAGCGAAGAGAAGGATAGCACGCAGAGTTGAGCGAGAAAACGGACGAAAGAACATTTGCTAGGTTACAGCGCACCCAACATTTACTGTAGAAAAACTGAAAAAGCCTCCTCGAACCTTTTTTGGAGTTTGTATATCTGTGTTGCAGCGCGCGAAAGACTGCATGCGAAAGATTCTCTATTCAAACGGCACGGATCCTCGATTCGTTCGGGACTACAGTAAAGCCAGCTGCTTTTGACTCTTAAAATTAGTCATTATAAAATTTGTGTTCAAGGAGGACATTTTCACAATTAAAAAATATACTCGAAAAATGTTGAAAAAAATCACAGCTATTCTTTGACTAATTCTGAGACTATTTTTTTTCTCGGTATTTTTTTACTCGACTCGATAAAAAAATTACTGAAAAAATTAAAGTTTAAAAAATCCATGCATTGTAAAAATTGACTTTTTCTCGTTCAAAAGGCTCTATTTCGCTCACACCTGATGCATATAAAAGTTTCGATTCGGAAAAGATAATGGTAAAAACTAAAACACAATGATATTAGAAAGCAAGCAAATCAATGAATTCAAATTTTTGAAGTTTATTTATTCGATTGATGTACAAAATCTGCCACATTAAACAATACTAGATATTAAAAAATAAAATAAAAAATATGATTATCGGCATTACGATCTTTGACCGGTAGCAGCCAAGAAAATACGCCGTAAATCCTCGGTCTTCAGCTTCTCGATGATTTTTTCACAGCGTAAAATTGGCAACTCATAGCGAGTCACGGAGTCGCTTTGGTCTAGTTCGCATCCTCTTTTCTCAAGACTCTCGACGATGATCAAAGCACCAGCTGCTAGTCCTAATTTAGACATATGATCACTTTTATAGCGCTGCGCTAAAAATTTCTCGAAGTAACTCGCAGTAGGGAAGTTTTATCTCAATATGGTATGAACTCTACGAAAAAGTCGCAAAGAACAGAAAAGTCGTAGAATTTGTCAAGAAAAGTGTATAAATTTTTTAAGATTTTTTCTAGACATACTTGTGATTTTGACTAAACTGTACTGCTTGTACATCTTCAAAATACGCTTTAATTTATTAAACTATCATAACAAATTACAAAAACTTGTCTCACAAAGAATCTTTTAATTAATGTACTTATTTTTTGTTTTTTATCATTTCGCAGAGTCGTGCAGCCGCTGACCCTCGGCATCCTCATCTACCACTTCGATCCGTGCTCCACCACGACGGCCAGCCAAGCCTACCTGCTCGCCTCCGGGGTCGTCCTCATGGCCCTGCTCCAAGCCCTCGTCGGCCATCACTCCAACTTCGGCCAGTTCGAGATCGGCATGCGTCTGCGTATCGCCTGCTCCGCCCTCGTCTATCGCAAGATCACTCGCCTGTCGAGCTCGGCCTCGGCCCAGGCCAGCGGCGGCGGCGCCGTCGTCAATCTCCTCTCGAACGACGTGGCCCGCTTCGAGCAGCTGTTCTACTGCGCCCACTACATCTGGGTGATGCCGCTGCAGGCCTCGGTCATAGCCTACCTGATCTGGCGTCACGTCGGCTGGGCGGCTCTGGCCGGCGTCTGTCTCATGACCCTGCAGACGATCCCTGTGCAGGCCTACTGCGGTCGACTCACGTCGCGCTTGAGGGCCAAGGTGGCGGCGCGCACCGACGAGCGTGTCCTGCTGATGGCCGAGATCATCGGCGGCATACGCGTCATCAAGATGTACACGTGGGAGCGGCCGTTCGAGCGACTCGTGTCGGCGGCGCGCAAGCACGAGGTCGGCGTGCTGCTCGTCTCGTCCTATCTCAAGGGCGTGAATCTGGCCTCGTTCGTCTTCACCGAGCGCACGACCCTCTACGTGACGATACTGGCCTACGTGCTGCAGGGCAACAATCACGTCACGGCCGACAAGGTCTTCACCATGGCCCAGTACTTCAACATACTGCAGCTGACGATGGCGATATTTTTCCCGCGCGCCGTGCAGTGCGCCGCCGAGGCCAAGGTGTCCGTCAGCCGGATCGAGGATTTCTTGCTGCTCGACGAGGTGGAGCCTCGACCGGCCGTCGACGACGATACCAACAACTGCAGCGAAGGTATCTTAATCAAGGACGTGAACGCCACCTGGTCCAGTCGATCGATCGTCAACGCGCTGCACGAGGTCAGCCTCGCAGTGCCCCGCGGCCGACTGTACGCCGTCGTCGGGCCCGTGGGCTCGGGCAAGAGCTCCCTGCTCAAGCTCGTGCTCGGCGAGTTGCGCGCCAGTCGCGGCCGCTGCCAGACCCAGAGCCGGCTCGTGTCCTACGCCTCGCAGGAGCCCTGGCTGTTCGGCGGCTCGGTGCGAGCCAACATACTGTTCGGCGAGGCGTACGACGAGGCGCGCTATCGCGAGGTGCTGCGCTGCTGCGCCCTCGTGAAGGACCTGGACCAGTTGCCGCACGGCGACAGGACGCTGCTGGGTGATCGGGGCGCCGGATTGAGCGGAGGACAGAAGGCCAGGATCAATCTGGCCAGGGCGGTGTATCGCCGGGCGGACGTGTACCTGCTGGACGATCCGCTGTCGGCGGTGGACGCGCACGTGAGCAAGAGCCTGTTCGAGGAGTGCGTGAGGGGCTTTCTCGGCGACAAGACGAGGCTGCTGGTGACCCATCAGGTGCAGTACCTGAAGCACGTCGACGGCATCGTGCTGCTCAATAACGTGAGTTTTTCTAATTTTTGATTTATCGTTGTGTTTTAAAAACGAGTGAAGGGATTTCACGCGTATGCGCCCCTGGTAGAAATGCTCGATATTTTTTATGACTATGCAGTGTTTTGGCCCAAGGAAAAAGTTTTTTTGGGCCCAAAAGGGTTTAGAGAACTAGACGTGTATGAAAAAAAAGTGAAACATTTTTATCAACAATTCATAGTCTAATTAGCAGGCATGAACGGATTAGTCTAATTTTTCCGAAACCTCGCCTTGACTTATACTATTTTTTTCATTTTACCACTTTCAGATTTACAGGTTAAGGTACTCGCCATCTATCGGTGAATGCTTAAAGTGGTATTGTTGTATTTAAGTTGGTTGAAAGTCGGTTTTAATTTTTTGAAAGTGTTCGATCGTCATTTTCAGCTACTTCAAAAGTATTTTAGAACATTTTAAGTTGAGCATGTTTATTTAGAGCATTTTTAGCAGGGTGAATTGACCTCTAATTCACGTTGATTTTTGACGATTTCTAGTTCAATATACTTGTTTATTTAAAAGTAAATTAAAATGTGCAGTGACGGCTTATAGAGCCCGCCAATCATGCTATGGGGTGAAGGCGACAAATTTCGATTTTTTTTAAATACATACTTTTAAAAGGCCTATAGAAAATTATCCAAATAAATCGTTACCAAGTTGAAACTTCAAACTGGTTCATATTTAGAGGACTATGTATATAAACAAATAAATCGGTAACTTAATTAATTGTACACAATATAATTATAAACGATTTTGGCATCATTTCTCGTCACGCTAATCATGTTTATATTAAAAACAAATTAGTTTGAAAATTGCCTTTCCCGATGAAAGAAATAATAATATCAAAAGATCAATTTTACTCATTCAATTTTCGTGACACTAAAATAGAAGGATCTATTTTTCACCGAAATGGATAAAAGTGAGAAGAAATCTGAAGAAGTAGACTCAAAAGATAGTTTGAGCGAACACGTCGATGTTGCTACGAAAATCAAAAAATACGTATGTGATATTTGCCAGGAGGCATTTACACTAGAATCAAGCATGATAATACACCTAGACAAAATTCACAATGAAGACAAAAATTACGCATGTGACCAGTGCGAGAAGAAATTTGAGTTCCGAAGTTATTTGAGTAGACACCAAATGTCAGAACACAAAAGCCGTAATTTTGCATGTGACCAAAGCGAAGAGAAATTTGTGAAAAAAACAAGTTTGTTTACGCATAAAAAATTAGTACACAAAGATCGAAAAGATTTCACGTGCAACAAGTGCGAGAGGAAATTTGAAAACAAATCAACGTTACTCAAGCACAAAAAAATATTCCACGACGTTTTCAAAAATTACTTATGTGAATTGTGCGCCAAGAGATTCGACACTAAATATAGTTTGCTCTTGCACATAAAGAAAATTCACGAGGGTAGCAAAGATTTCACCCCGAAAGTCGACAAAGATTACCTTTGTGACAATTGTGGGAAGAAATTTAGAAAAAAATCGAATTTGCTTTCGCACCAAAAGACAACCCATGAAGGTCATAGAGATTTCAAATGCGAAAAGTACGAGAAAAATTTTGGACAAAAATCGAAATTGATTATACACCAAAAAACAATCCACGAAGGTCGCTATGATTTCCCATGCGATAAATGCGAAAGAAAATTTGTAAATAAATCAAAATTGTTAGAGCACCAAAAAGTAGTCCATGAGGATCGAAAAGATTACGTATATGACAAGTGCGAGAGAAAGTTTGGATTTAAGATAGCTTTGTTGAAGCACCAAAGGGCAGTACACGAAGGTCACAGGGATTACGCATGCGACAAGTGCGAGAAGAAATTTGGGGATAAAAGCAATTTGAGAAGACACCAAAAGACAGTACACGAAGGTCGCAAAGATTATACATGCGACAAGTGCGGAAAAAAATTCGGATTCAAATTTACTATGCTTTCCCACCATAGAACAATACACGAAGGTCGAAAAGATTTCGCATGCGAAAGATGTAATGAGAAATTTGGAAATAAACATAATTTACTAATTCATCAAAAAACAAAACACGAAGGTCGTAAAGATTACGCATGCGACATTTGCGAAAAAAAATTTATACGAAAACAGCAATTGCGCTTCCACCAAAAAATAGTTCACGAAGGTCGCAAGGATTACGCGTGTGACAGTTGTGAGAAGAAATTTGGGGATCCAAGCACTTTGATCAGACACAAAAAAACAATCCACGAAGGTCGCAAAGATTTCGCATGCGACAAGTGCGAGAAGAAATTTGGAAAAAAGTTTAATTTGCTTGTCCACCAAAGAACAATACACGAAGGTCGCAAAGATCACGCAAACAACAATAGCGAGAAAAAATGATGATTGACAATTGTAAATATGTACAGATGCATAGATACTTTAACACATTTTTTTTTAATAATTTGAATAAAAATTGTACCAATCAACTATCATAACACCTCCGATTGTCAGGGTGGTATCTTATTTTTGGTTCCTTTCTTTACCGGCAGCTGTTCATGCAATGAATAGCCGAGAGTTTTTTTTACATCTTATTTGGAACTAAATTTTTGATAAACCTGAAGTAATAATATCATGACCCTGAATTAACCAACCCGCTCGAATAGAAAATTTTGATTAAATATGCTGAAAGACTGATTATTTCTGCCAAGAGACAAGTGATCGGTAATAAACATACGTTCTTCCTGAAAAAACAAATTCTACAATTATATTTCATAATTCTATTTAACCCGAAATAAGTTTTTTACATTGATTCAAAATTATTAAAAGCTCTCATGATTGTTTTTCTTTCTATTAGTAACTTTATCAATCTAAAATCTTATATCAATGCTCCTTGAATTGCGTGAGCGGCAAATGATAGTCTGCATGTAGAGGAAGTGGGGGGGGGGGGGCGGCTCTTTTTCTATTCCGCCACTCAGTATATGACTATTTGTATAATTTTTCGTACGAAAACCGACTAATATATTGATCCAATTGTCATACATATTTAATTAGATATCTGCGGGGGAACCCACGAGAATTTCTGGTCAATCGATATAAAATCTACTCGAATCCAGATAGCTTTCCGAGTGTTAAGGGCTCAAAGGCACCTTTAAATCGAAAAATCAGTTTTATTAAAATTGATTAAAATTACAGAGAAAACAAAATCAGCTGTATAAAAACATCCGTAAGTTGTATAACGTCTTTATGAACATTAAAAATAGAATTTAACATTAAACAATCAAGTAATTCGATCTAAAATTCGAGTAATTAAATTAAAACAAAATTCGAGAAATTCGATTTAATAAATTCAAGTAAATCAATTTACAATAGAAAAAAAAAGAAGCGCTGCAAGATGTGTAACTAAAGTCACATTTAAAGGTGAAAAATTAAAAAAATAAACAAATAAAATAAACCAAATGAAACGTCGAATACTTTTTCGTTTCATCGACAAAAAATCCTATTCGAAAATGAGATGAAAATTTTTTCAATTTTAAGCCCCCTTTGAGCCCTTAATTGATTTTACTAAAACTGATTTTTCGATTTATTCTGTAGTAGATACTTTCTGATTAATTTTTTTCTATTATTTATATTATAGGAAAATGTAACCTCAAAATATTTCAGATTTTTCGGCTCAAGCAATGCACCTTTTAAAGCAAAAAAAATTTTTTTAATGAAACAAATATTAATATGCGATACAGAGTATATATCTGTGGTGGAAAGGGAGAACCGACCAACTCTATTTTTTTCGAAATCGAGTTTATGACATAAAACAACTATGTTTAGTGTAAACTTTGATGTACAAATGCCAGAAAGTCCGAAAATTTAGTCTATCGCTTGGTACAGCACAATGCCAAACCGACCAAGCCCATTTCGTGACAAACGGTGACCGGCCAAACCGACCAAGTCCACCTGTGCGAGCCCCAAAACGCGATATCGAGTCTAAAATATGATGTTCGAACACTGTGTATATCAACTCTCGCGTTATTGGAAGCTACCAGAGTAAAATAAGGCTCAACAAAATTAAAACATTTTTTTAGGTAGATACACATCAATCATCTGTTAATTTGATAAACCTGGCATTTTGATACGTTTTATTAGCTATTTTTTCAAGTTAGCAACATAATAATACGTAATTACTACAAAACCCACAAGAAACATTCATTTTACAAAGCAGAATTGCCGCGAAAGTGGACTTGGTCGCAAACCGTTTCCCGGCAAACCGACCAAGTCCACCTAATCTGGCTCCGCACCTACGCTATCAATTTGATAGATACACTGGTCAAAAGAATTTCGTAATAGGTTAAAATATCACGGGTACAGAGCTCTAGTCATCCGCGTCTAGAGCTACGCGTTCATAGGCAACTTTAAACACGTTTTTCTCGAATACACGAAAAATAGAGTTGGTCGGTTCTCCCTTTCCACCACAGATATAATATATAGAAATTTTATAGTTTTTTTTTCTTTTAAATAAAAATCAGATGTTTCTCAAAAAAAGTCTCAAGCACCGAACGAGCGTAGCGAGTGGGTTATAGCGCTAGTGTTAATTAAGTTATGTTATTTCAATAATTTTTATATCTGTTTTATTTCGACATTTTTATCATGAACAATAATTTTGAAAAAAAGGCATTGACATCATCAGAAGCAGGGGGTGGACGAGCTTCTCTACTTTCGTAACCTTGATTGTGATTCATTGATCAGCACTTATCGTGATTTTGCTTGCAAAAATGTTTTGCTTATTTCTTGGGTTGCTAATTCTAACAAATCTGTCATACATAAATAATTGGCTGCGTCGATAAGATCAAAAAGAGTTTTGAAATCAACCTGTAACATTATTAAAAAAATTATAAGAATTTTGCTGATTTCTCTCAAGTAGTACATATAATTATTGTAAAAAATTGAGATTTTAAGCTTATTTCGATAATTCAAGTTATTGAATGTAATCTTGGTTCATATGTAAGTAAGTGTAGATATTGTTTTGATGACTAGGGCTGTGCGAGTATCTGATTTTTTGAGTTTTACTCAACTCGAACTCGGAGAGTCGAGTTCGAGTCGAGTCGGGAAAATTCGAGTACTCGAGTTTTTTTGGGTACTCGCATTTTTTCGAGTACTCGCAATGTATTTAAATTTGAAGTAAATAAATGAAGAAAAAACAGTCTCAAGTCAAGTGTAATATTCGCAGCGGCTAGAATTGAAAGAAGAAAATAAATTAATAGTACCATACTTCATCACACTTACAAGCATGTACACACAAAGAGAGGGGTCTAGAGACTGTTGATTCGTCATTTATATTTTTAAAACTCGAATATATTGTGAGAATTTAGAAAAACTCGATTACTCGAAAAAACTCGAGTACTAAAAAAATCGAGTACTCGATTCGACTCGAGGAAAAAACTCGACTCGTCGAGTTTTTTTGAGTACTCGCACAGTCCTATTGATGACAGTATTCAGCAAAGCAAACAAAGATATAATTTTTACTCATGTGATTTTCAATTCGAATTTTAAGTTAAAATGTTCAACTTAATTCCAATAAAAAGAATATTAAAACTTAATATTGTTTAAATACCTCTAGAAATTTTTGATCCCATTCTGTCATTCGAATATTTACTTTCTCGACATCTTCTTCTGGCATGGGATCATTTTTATGATGAGTAGCGAATTCAATAACCTTTTTCAGAGTATCAGATTTAATTATTGGTAGAGGAAGAACTTCTTTCAATTCATCTTCGCCTAAACTTTCAGTCATGGTTTTTATCATTATTGAGCGCTGAGCGATTGCTAACTCCACGTCAAAAATGACTCCGTCAGAACTTTGCAAATGCAGGATTGGCCCCTGTAATAAAATTAAAAAAGATATTAGTCAAGTGGTTTACATTTATTCCATTGATTGTAGCAATAGAGTTAGTAATATTATTCTATTTTCACTACCTATACACTTTGTAAACTGAACAACAATAAAAATTCTTGTAAACAAATCAGAATAAATGATAGATATTTATATTTTGTTTCGGAATAGAACCAATAGTTATTAACTGGTAGTATTTGGTAATAATTGTTATCTAGTTAGACTCATTTCTACAATACGTACACAATTATTATGAATAAATATACAATGAAAATTAGTTAATTCGATCACGTTATCAGAAATTTAAAAATACGCCTTCGGTGTATCGGAAGCTGCCTACCCAAATACAAAGACCAATCACAGCACATTTATTTCGAAAGTACGATCGAACCAATACTTGAGTGAGAGCAGATGTTCAACGGATAAAGCCAAGAGGTCGGTCCCCTGATTTTGACAGTTAAAAACAACACGTGCTCATCGCGCGATCAGCTGTCAAAATTTGACGGTAATTATTTTTTATAAAATTGTTTATAAAATACAAAAAATACTATCAATACTTTGACAAAAAGCTTCGTATTGAAAATGTTATTTTTTCTACTTCTACATATGAAATTCTGATTAATTAGGCGATAACCCTATTTCAAAAATAATGAATTCTAACGAAAAATTCAAGTACAGGTTCTTTTTCAATCTTTAACTCAAAAGTCTCTTTGCTTACGAATGAGTTTAACAATCAGAACACGGGTAAAATTATTTATATAGTATATTGCTGCCCTAGACCATAAAAAACAAAATATTCCCAAAGGACTTGTAATTCGTCTCCGAGTCCGTAAAGCACAGGGCTCTCAGGCTTTCTTTTTTCATGGATCAGACCTTTATTCTATCTGATTTTGAAAAAATGCTCTACACACGTTACAATATATGCACGCACAACACATACGACGTCTGAATTAAAAACTTACCTCGCTAGAGTTTTCTTGATTTGAAGCCATTTTGTCAACGAGATATTTAAGCTGCCTTGTTGTTACGTCGCAAGATCCAAACACTCTGAGACTAACGTTTATTTTTCGAATCTTTCATACCCGAAAGCGTCGACGGTCTGCGTCATCTGATGTCGGATAGTGGGGAGAGGCAAAGAGTCATTCGTATAGCGAGACGCTTTCACATGTATATAATATTATTTTTCTTATTATAATTATTTATTAATAATAAGTCACGAAGGACGTGACACCAGCAGTAATTCGGCCACATTTCTTTGATTCTCGTCCAAAACCAAGTGTAGCGAGGTAGCACCTGTTTTTTCCACGAGGTAATTGGGATCTTGTCCGAGTTCGAGAAATTTTTTAACGATTTCTTGGCAGCCAAACATGCAGACCACATGAAAATGAGAGTAGCCGGATTCGTCCGTGTAATTCACGTCTGTTCTACTGTAAATTTTAAAAAGATCATGGACTATGGTTCGGAACTTGAATCTAACCGGGTGATGTACTGGTGTGGTGCGACGCAACGATATCTTGCCGTTCGTATCAACTTTGGGCTCGTCTTTATAGCCGCTGCGAGCCACGAAGCCGATGAATTGTCTTCCAGAATAATTTATGGAATCCAAGAAAAGACGCTCGATCTGTTTGCAATGCCGTGAACGTTTACTACGATATGTACAGAAAGTGACTGAAGCTGCAGAAAATGAAAGAAATTTTTAATTCAGAGTGGCGAAACATATGCTGTGTAAAACACATGTGGCTACAGTAGGCAATAGTCCCCGCCGCTAATTCGATGGATTTGAATAATTTCTGATTTTTACTGATGTAAATGTCCCAATCAATCAATTAGTCTGCCTCAGGATTTATAGGCTTATATTGGAACCGTGGGGTTATATTTTTGTAAATGAATGACACATTTCCGATCCAGTTAAAATCATATTCATTAAATTAGGGATTATTTCTTTTAATTCTTAGAGGTTTATGTTCTAGAAAAAGTTGTAACGATCCAAAAAGCGATATGAAACATAGGGATTGGACTGGTTTAGGCCGGGAAAAATAGAAAAGTCCTGGGGCACGTGAAATAACCGATCAAGGAGAAGCTGAGGTCGATTAGAACGTGCACTGGGGCTTTCTTTTTCCGGTACAGGGCGGTATGCTATTTTACATACCCTGTGGCCCGAAAGTAGCATTTTACTGCCGCTGCGCTAAGCCGAATATCAACTTTTATCTATAATAGAGACACATTGATTCTACATAAGACAGTACACGATGGTCGCAAAGATTTCTCCATCCAAGTCCTTAAAGATTATTCACGTGACAATTGCGAGAAGAAATTTGGACAAAAATCGAGATTGCCCTTTAACCAAAGTACACTACACGAAGGTCGGAAAGATTACGCATGCGATAAATGCGAAAATAAATTCGGATATAAATACAAATTGCTCTCACACATGAAAAAAGTCCACGAAAGTCAGAAAGATTACACGTCCAAGTGCGAGACAAAATTTGGACTAAAATCAAATTCGTCGAAACACAAACAGACAGTACACGAAGGACGAAAAACTTTAGAATGCAATAAATGTGAGAAAAAATTTGGAACAACATCGTATTTGCTTTTACACCAAAGAACTGTACACGAAGGTCGCAAAGACTACGAATGTAATGATTGCGAAAAAAAATTCGGACAAATATCGCATCAACTTTTATCTATAATAGAGACACATTGATTCTAAACGCATGTTTAGATATCACGCCGAGCTTTTTTATTAAGAATGAATAGAGCTTTAAAAAATTTTTATACTCACATTTAATAAGCCTATCGGTCCTTCTGGATTGTCAAAATCAAAAAATTCATCATCGTTACAATTTGTGCCCGATGTTTCTTGAACTATATTAAAATTAGTTTTAATTTTTTCAATCAAAGAATATAATCTTTTTTGAGACTCCTCATCCAGCGCTGTAATAAATGAGATTTTAAATTTTGGATGCATCAACGTGGCAATGGCAGCAAACTCTCCACTTCCTTCTATATTCATAATGTGCCGAAAACGACTTTCTAAATTATTAATTACTAATCTCAACACAGGACCAAATATTTGTAGTGTGTCAAGCATTTTTATCCACTTTTTTCTTAAAATTAACAAAATAGGCAACAAAATACCATAATGGCAATTTTGTTCTGCCTGTAATTTATCAATCGACTTAGATAGTGGTTCAACCCAAATTAAATAGTCCGATATCAACGCAAAATCATTATTTGACAATCCTTTAGAATCAGTTACTATATTTTTCATCGCAGGATCCATTAATTTATCTTTTAAGTCTTCAATTTGTTTTAGAGCATCGTATAAAGAGTTCCATCTAGTTATTACGGGTCGCTTGAGACTACACTCTATGTGTTTTCGTAAATCTTCATATTTTTTCGGCGATCGATGGATTTTGCAAATAGCTTCACATTTTTTTATAACAGCTTTATATTTTTTTTCAATTTTTTTTGTCGGTCGATATCGCTTTCATTGTATCAGTTGTCGCAATAAGGTTCAATGTGTGGCTTGCACAGCGAAAATGATTTGGTAGATATATATAATTAGAAAAGTTTCCATCCTGTTCCATCTCACAGTCATTTTCATCGTTGTTAGATTCTTCCAAATTTTGAATATTTTCAGTGTCCTCTAAAAAAGTATTCAAAAGTAAAATATTATAAAACATAAAGAGAGAGAGAGAGAGAGAGAGAGAGAGAGAGAGAGAATCTATGTATTTCTTTATTTTCATAAGCGTTACCTGTCAGAAAAGCTGCTGGATTATCCATGCCAAATTCTTTGAAAGCTTTCACAAAGTTGGATCCATTATCCGTAATTGTGGCAACAACCTTCTCAATATCCAATCCAAATGATAAGTGAATATCATCAAGTTATTCGGCAATTCTATCGTACTCGGCTTCGCCTCGGCGTCATATCACGTGTATGCGGATGTTTCATTACTCCCCCTTGTAAGAAAATCTACTATATCGTATGGACTTGAAGTTCATCAAAGATCATAAAACATTGATCAATTATATATCATAATCTTTGATGATCATAATCGTGATTTAAAATCATTTAAATCAAAAATCAAAATTGATTCGTGATTTAAAATCGTTTAAATCAAAAATCAAAATTGACTCGTGATTTAAAATTATTTAAATCAAAAATCAAAATTAATTCGTGATTTAAAATCATTTTAATTCAAAATCAAATTGATTCGTGAGTTAAACTGGATTTAAAATAAAAATTGATTTAAACTTTTACAACTCTGGACGTTACACATCTTACAGCTGTTCTAATACAGATGATTTTCAGAATTGTTCATTTAGAATTGTGAATTGAATTTTTGTAATTGATTTTACTAAAACTGATTTTTCGATTTTTTCTGCAGTAGATACTTTCCGATTAATTTTTTTTTAAATGGCTCGTCAGCAATAATAACAATAGTACAGTGAGGCGTCTGTCTGTCTCTTTCTCGCATTAGGCAGACAACCGCTCGCACTATTAGTTAGCTCGTTAAGGGGTAATTTCTAACATACCAATCGAAAAGTAGTGACTTAAAGCATAACATGTTATGGTGTAAAATGTATGAAATTATGATGGCCTCCCATTAGAGCCCATGTTAAATTTGCTATTTTCGACGACTTCGTTCTCAAACTTGGTACGGTAACTCATGCTAAAGTTTCTACAGAATATCAAAGGCACTTGAAATGACATTTCTGCCAAGTTTTATAATCATCTGTTGTTGACCCGTTTTTACTGTTGAGCCACCTCAATGTCCATCATAAAAGAACTCATCGAGAGCGACCTATAAGTCAGATCGTCTTACCCAAGGTTGTGTTTGTTACCATCGATGTTTTGAAGAAGTGTACCCACCCCTGGCGCTGAAGCTAAATCGGTACCCTCAAGAAGTTATGACAGATGACCAAAAACTACTCACTAGCAAACGCAAAAGAAAAAAAAATTAATACGCAATTTATACAAAAATGGCTCACGGAAACTGCCGTATCACAGTGAATAATCAAAATTTTAGAGTTTTAAAAATGCAATGATAAGGGGACAAAAATCCTTTTCGAAAATAAAATAAAATTGTTTTCAATTTTAATTTAATTAATTCTCCCCGTTAGCCTTTAAGTTAAGCATGTTTAATTTCAGCATTTTTATCGGGGAGATTTGGCCTAAAATTCTCGTAGATTTTTGACGATTTCTAACTCAATATATTGGTCAATTTAAATTTTAATTAAAATATGCAGTGACGGGTTGTGCAGCACGCCAATCATGCTATGTCGTGGGGACGGCAAATTTTGGAATAAATATTAACATTTTTTATAAGATTACTCGATGTCACAGGGAATTTTCTATGAGTACATACTTTTAGAAAATTCCAGAAATCATCGCCAAGTTGAAACTTGGTTCATAATTGTAGGTCAATGTATATAAACAAATAGACTTGGTAACTTAATTGTAAACAATATAAATATAAACGATTTTGGCATCGTTACTCGTCAAGCTGATCATATTTATAGTAAAACAAATTAGTTTTAATCTTGTCTTTTCCGGTGAAACAAGTCAAAACATAGAACGTTTACTTCTACTCATTCAATTTCTGTAGCACTAAATAAGGTCTATTATTTAATTAAGGCACTAGAATGAATAAAAGTGAGAAAAAACCAGAAGAAGATGTCTCGAAGAATAGTTTAAGTGAACATGACATTGTTGTTTCAGACGACAAACAATACATTTGTGATGTTTGTCGGGAGGCATTTATACAAGAATCAAGTATGATAACCCACAGAGACACAGTTCACAAGGAACTTAGAGATTACGCATGTGACCAGTGCAAGAAGAAATTTGAGTTCCAAAGTCATTTGAATAGACACCAAATATCAGAACACAAAAGCCGTAATGATTTTTCATGCTATCAATGCGAAAAGAAATTTGTGAAAAAATCACGTTTGTTTACGCACCAAAAATTAGTACATAAAGATCACAAAGATTATGTATGCAACAAATGCAAGAGAACATTTGAAAATAAATCAACTTTACTAAAGCACAACAAA